AAAATAGATTTGGGGGTGATTTAAAGGCCCTTGTAGTGATTTTTGCAACAGCTTTATGTTTTTTTTTAAATAAGTGAAGTTTATGGCCTCCCAGAGCTGGTTTACAGTCTTGCACCTTATGTGCATTGATTTCTACAGATTCTTTGAACCTTTCAATGGTGTTAAATCCCCTAGTTGATGAAATCTCCAAATTCTTTGCGGTTATATGGTCATGCCTTGTCATTAATACAGAAGGTTATAGCTTATTTACTATATTTCATTTATTTATTTTATTATATTATATTTCTTTATTTCTTTCTTTATTTATTTATGTAGGTTATTGGCCTTGCCTGACTCAGTGTAAGTTTTACCTTTGCCTGCAAGAATTTGAAAAATCTCCAACTGCCCACACATACCTGCTTGTATTTGCATAAACAACAGTGATCACATGTTGACAACAGCGTAAATGTCCAAAACAGCCAAAAAATGTACCAACTGTTAGTCGCATGTGCAGGGGCTGCAGGCTGTAAACCTCTGCTACATGTTCTGACACCTGAGGTATGTTAGTGGTAAAACATGCAAAAAGATTCTTTGAGACAGGACGGGGCTCTATCAAAGATTGTTTTACATCTCAGTAAAACTAGTTTAAAAGTATGTTTGTAGCATGTTTGTATGTTTCAGCTTGCTTTAATCGGTTTCTTGTGATATTCTACAGTTTGAAGTATCAAAAATACATTTCCAGGCCTCAGGGATTCGTGCTGGGTGCGTCTGTAGGAAACATCCACTTAAACAGGAGGAGAGTTATTATGACTGAACTGGGACTTTTTAAACCCACAAGCTTTACAATCTGTGAAGAAAGAGGACCTTTGTGAACACACCTGAAGATCAAAAGTATAGTAAAAGCTTTCCCAGAAGGAGTTTCTCTACAAAAACAATAATTCCTCTTGAAAAAAAAAAATAGACTTTCTTCTCTTTTTCTGAGCTTGCTCCATCACATGCAGTATGATGGAACCCTTTAGATTTATTTTTGATTACTAGTACATTTATATTGGCCTTTATTGGTGTCTATTGTAATTGAAAATGTAATGTCATCATAATTCTTGTTTTAGTTATGTTTTTAACATCTAGTATAATTCTCCTGTTTGGACTTTTACTGTCTTCTTGCAGACCCCAGGAAGAGTAGCTGCTACTTAGGTAGTAGCTAATGGGGATCCAAATAAATAATTAAATAAATTTTGCACCTGACTCCCTAAAAAGCCTGAGTTTGCAGCTGCAGCACACATGTGTCTATACATAAACACTACCACTTGATATCTGAAGTCATTTTATTTTCTTCAGAAACAACAACAGCTCAAGTTTGTTGGATGTTTACTTATTCAAAACCTTATTAACATGCTCTTACTGTTAACTGAGATATTTATTTTCAAGTTTTTCATTCAGTTTAGAGCACAAATATCTAATTAAAGCATAAAAAACTTTTACTAAAATAAATGATCTTTTCATTTCCGTTGTTATATGAATACAAATACTTTCTTTGTGATTTAGACTGAACCTTTCTCAATGCAAATCACGCTCACTGTTATGCAACTCTTTCGTGCTTATTTGACAGTTTCTGCTGTTTGTATATGGGAACATGCCCCACAAAAAGCCCCAAACCCACTGACATCATAAGAGCAATACTGTACACAATGTACAGAGAGTCGGAGACACAGTGGGTGGGGGCTCACAAGTTTTGCAGCTCATTCCTTCCCCTGAGGCCCTGAATCAGGTAAATCCAGACACAATCGTGATGCATCTTACAAATAATCCCTTGAAATGCTCTATTTCACAATTTCCTTATTCTCTCTTTAAAGCCAAACTTACACTGTCCATCATTGTTCATTCCATCCAGCAACTACGACTTAACACAAAGCCCCCTTTTTTTCTACACAACAAGTGCTCTGCAGGGGATGTGACAAACATGTCTGTGCAGATAACAGAGGACTTATTATGTAACATTGTCGCTGGAGAGTCTCTCCTCACTCTCTGTTTAACATCAAAATGCTATTCACATCATCAGGTGCTTTACAATCATGTTTGAACAAGCAAAAAGGCACACAAAGAGAGTTTAAGAGCTTGTGCAAATCCTGTCAGCAAATCAACAGGCTGAACAATCAGCTGAAAGAGAGAAGCTTAGGGAAAGGTCAAAAGTGACAGCGCCAAGTCTACAGCACAGCAGTCTGCAAGAAAAATCATAACATCAAAAAATTAATAATCATATGAAGGATACGTTTTTTAAAAGATTTGTGAGTTTGAGGGACTTCTGTTATTGGAAATTATATTAATGGAATAAAAGACGTTTTCTGATGGCTTCATAAAGTTAGAAGAACGATTTTGATTGGCTGAAAAAGGAAGCCATCTAATTAAATGATGTTAAAGAGCTTTCGAAAGCCAAATAATTGGAGTCTTGTGATTGGGAAGAAAAATGCAGCGTTCTGAATAACCAGATGAGGGCATCTTTGTAACTGACAAAATATAATAACCCTCTGATTTGTCACTTGAAAGAGCCTTGTGGTTGGCTGATTGTAAGCAAGTCTCTGATCGGCCTCTTAACCACTCTCAGGGATGGATGTGTTTTTATACCTTTATTATGTTCCACTAATACAAATGTCTGGTCCAGATCCCCCTGGTAGCAGCCAGAGTGACCATTAACTCGGAGAGCATGTTTTTGGACAGCGGGAGGAAAACAGAGTGTCTGGATATAGAACCCATTCATGCACAGGAAGAACATTCAAACTCAACATGGAAAGACCCCTGCCCTGCCAGGATTCAAATAATAAACCCTCTTGCTTTGATGGACCTCTTTTTTAAAATTTTACCATGGAGCCATTTTGCAAAAAAAATGTAGTGAGACAAATTTGGTTTGAGAAAATTCTGGAAGAATAATTTAACCTTAAATGATAGCCACTTTTCTCTGAATGGGTTTCCATCACGTGTTCCTGAATACAGTGAAAGTATGTAGAGCATCAGAAAATAGTAGTTAAATTACTGGTTTCCTATTCATGTCAAACTTGAAGCCAATCTGACAGCCCTGCCTCCAAGTGAGCAGAATGTGAACTGATTTAATGACAGCCTGAGAGGTGGATTTTGAGGGACTGGTTTAAGACAAGCTGTCACAATCAGGTTGTTAAGGTCTGTTTCTCACTGAGCAGAGGATCTTTTTTACGTAACCACCACCTGCATGTGTGTTTTCTTTTCCACAAAACCTCAAAGTTTGGTGTTAATTGCGTTTCTGTCAGTTCTGCTCTCTAAGCGGATATCATGAATCATTTGCACGGAAGAACGAGACATACTGAGTGAGTTAGAAGACTGCTTTACTTCAGCTACAGCGAATGCTTGACAGTCTTATTTACCATTTCTGCTATAATGCATGTGCAGCTGTTTATAAATACTTACACAGTGATGTTGTTGTGTACATTTATTTCATTTTAACCTTTTTAGGCTATTAAAAAATGTTGATGACATCTTGAACAGAAATTATGTCTCCGTGTGATCTAATTGTGAAGTAAAGGGAAGTTATGATGATGGCTGTGCCAAGGCTGGGTTTAACAAAGATATAAATTGACTTCACAAAATTAAAACATAGAAGGAAGCGTCCAAACGTTATGTTAAAGATCAGTCTGATTGACTTTGTTGTGGGAGTGGGATTTTGAAATCATTGCATAATTGAATATACTTTCACCTACATTTGACTTATTATAACCCTATTCTAAATCTGGAGGGAAAAGATGTCCTTTTTATGTTGGCAAGTCATCAAAGACAGCATTGATCGCTTTTCAAATCCTCACAAGGTTATGAGAGACAGGCTGATACACGAGAAATTCTGAGGGATTTTTCTAACAAAAAAGTTCAAATCTGAAAGAAAAAACAATGACAGTGACTCATGGAAGCCTGTGCTTGCTAACAGAGACGGCATAATCAGGACCAAAGGACTTGCAATTCAAAGACCTTTGTTGTTATAAATGGGATGACCTTTTGGGCCGAAACAACACAAGAGTCTGAGAGATGTGGTCACTTAGAGATGGCCTCACAGGAAGGCAATCCAGTCGCTTATTTTCAAAAATGCCCAATTTCCCACAAGAAATAAACTAAAAGCCAATATATATATATATTTTTTCTAACCCTGAACAACTTTTTTCTTCTTTTCATAACAAAATAAATTTCCTTCATAACAACTTCACCAGTTATTTAATTTTTTTTCAGACTCAGCCATTGGAATAAGTTGAAGTGTCATAGGTAAGTATAATCAGGAGTCTAGCAGCTTTGGTTGACAGGGCTGTACCTCTGGCTATAAGTCTGTGTGTCACTTCAATTGATTTCACTCCAGGAGACTGACATCGAAGCAAGGGGGCCACCTTTTTGATTGTAAGTGTCATGGCATCTTGACAAATTATGTTGACTATAAAATATGTAATTTAAGTTAAAATTCTTGCAGACGAACAACAAATGTATGTTTTTTTAGAAATGATTTATTTGTTAAGAGTGCAGATAAATGATTTGAAGTAAGGTCAATGTCAGCCAAAGAGCCGCAAGCATCGTTTACTGATCAACCTTTCAAAAAGCATCACGATCCTGAAAAGAATTAGCTGTTTTTAATCTGAGCCTCAGGTCACCTCTCACTCCATCTCTGCTTCTGCCTTGGAGTAGATGGTGATGATGAAGCTGGAGGACTTGTTGGGTTCAAACGTACAGGGAATAATCAAATACTCTCCTGGCTCCAAGCTGTAGAACTCAATCAGCTCCCTGCTCTTCGTGTACAAACTCAGTTTTAGCGGCTCCTTATCCTTGAAGAGAGAGGATGGAAGACGGCCTTAAGGTGCCTGCAGAAATTATACATAGGACATTTAGTTTTATTTTTGTTTATGGCTTTTTTATGAATTTGATAATTTGTTGGGTTAAAAAATTGAGGATTTTTCTACCTTTGGTGGCACCTGTTTAGAATAAGAAATAAGGATGTGGGATAAGATATTTTGCTTTTTATATTAGTTGTTTCCAAAGTTTTGATCAAAAGGTACAACTTGTGCCAGCAATGGCTTATGCAGAGTCAGAGCGCCAATAGATGCCAAAAACCAGCAGTTACCTGAAGAAAACCACAGAGAGAACATTAAATCAAATCACCTCTGCTTTCAAGACTCATTCTGCAACAAACAGTCAACCTACATGACAAAAGCACTCCTACTTCTTCAAAGTTCATACCTACGTCCCCCTGGCTGAAGTCAAACCTTGAAGTTCCATCCACAATAAACTCTGCATCTGGGTTAAGGTCCTATAAAAGGTCACAAACATGTAAAACACCATCTTTCAATAGTTTTAGACAAAGAGTCAGTTAACTTACAAGTGGGCGGAGCCACTCCACAATTTTGAGCTTCTTTGCTGAGATATTTTCCTGTTCCCCCAGAGAATCCAGGTTTGGTGGGAAAGTTTCATCCACAAATATTTTCTTCTCTTTCAGCAGAGATGCCCTGAGATGCTCAAAGTCTTGGCCTTTGAATTTCACTGGATTAGAAGGGCTCCCTTCACCTCCATCCTTACAAAGGGAGTGAATCATCTTCACACTGGTGGGCTTCATGTTGACGGCAGAATCCGAAATCTTTAGGGAATGGAAATTGGAGAAAACTGATCCTTTAGACAGAAGAGTGAACAAAAACAGGTTTATCTGTGAAGAGTGAGACTGGATTTTGGAAGCGGATTGGACTGAAACAAACTCCTGTGTGATTTTTTACCAAATGATTGCATACTAGACATAGAGCCGTTAGCAGGATGAATAACCAAATGTAAAGAAATACCTCTCACAAGATTTTTAGAGGAAACTGAGGTAAACAGAGGCAAAAGAAATATATTATTTCTGTATCATGAAATACAACATTGTAATTTCAAGAGTGGCATTCCTATACATTGTATGACAGCCAAAACTCTGCTTTATCCTCACCTGGGCACACCTCTTGGAAAATAAAGCTGTTGCCAATCATTCACACCTCTGGGAACACACAACACTTAATCAAACTCACTCGTTCATGCCAGCATTTGAACCACTTTCTCGATTGGTTTCATTTTGGTTTCATTTAGGAGGAGAGAGGGTGGAGGAGACGCTTCATTGGAGTGTTGTTGAAGTAGACAGGATGAAAAGCAGCCTTTATGTACAGAAGTAGAAATCAGTATATTTGACAAACAGAGTCCTGACCAAACTCTCCCGTCTTCCACTTTTTATCCTGGTGGGCATGTTTGTGCACATAATGTGTATATTACAGGTGTGCGTCTTTTTCCCAGCCTGGTGCCAAGAATGTCTAGGAAATCATCCAAGATCATAATATCTCATAATGTTTTGGAAACATAAACACTTGAAGATACATCATCTAACTTTCCCGTGAACCACCTGTCCTGACACGCCTGACAAACGCCCAATGCTTGGTATAACCATCAACTCAACTCAACTTAACTCAATTCAACTCAACTTTATCCATAGAGCACATTAAATACAACCAAAGCTGACACAAAGTGCTGTACATAATAACATAAAAAACATATAAAAATAATAAATAGTAAAAAAGAAAAAAAAAAACAAAACCAAATGCCGTCTCAAGCTGGGTCAAAAGCCAAGGAATAAAGCTGTGTTTTAAAAAGTGTTTAAAAAATGGACAGTGAGGGAGCTTGTCTAATGTGGAGAGGTAAGTCATTTCACAACGTAGGAGCAGCAACAGAAAAAAAGCTCTGTCTCCTCTGAGTCTCCGCTTAGACGTTGGTACATGCAGGAGCAGCTGATCAGCTGACTTGAGGCACTGGGCACCAACAAAATAGCTCTGTGAACAGCATTTTAGATCATGGATCGCTCCATCCTGTTGGTCCATCCGTTAGTAGCAGTAGCAGCCTCCAGTCATCAGACAATAAAACCTGATTAAAACTCCTGGATCTAAGTCTTGGTATGTTTGTTTTGTGAAAAAATGTGAATTAACGTGGTCTTTTCTGTTTGTTTTGAATATAAGAAATAAAGAAGTGTAAAAAGGCATGTTGGCCTGCAGCTCTTATTTATTTATATTATGTGTTTAGTTGATTAATATCTTATAAAAGAGGGGCAGATTCTATAAGAGTTTTCTTCTTTCTGCTCCTTTTCATTCACATGTTTGAGATTTTTCCTTGTTTGTATTTAATGTTTCAAATATTAACTGATTGAAATAAAGTATGAAAATGAAAATGATTTGTTGGATCTTCTATACTGGACTGAGTAGGGGGGTGTTTGTTTATTTATTAATTTTCTATGCTTTAGTGTATAGGGTTGGCTCCTCAGATACGAATTATTAAAAAATAGGCACAACAATTCAAAGTTAAAGTATCGAACTCTGTTATGATAGTTGTCCCAGTTCAGCAAACAGAGCTATTCCAGCAAACATTAGCAGACATAATTAATCATCAAACATATGTCATTGCAACTGTAAATATAGGGAATGAAAAGAGTACTTACATCTCAGTAGACGCACACAGACTCTCACTGTCCAAAAAATGGAGAAATGAGTAACATTCAACTCGCATGAACCAAGAGACTGCTCCAGAGCTGTTCACATAGACTGTTTTTTTTATCGTCTATAGTAATTCATCGTTTCAGTAGACGCTGCCAGGAAGTGATTGACAGGTGAGTCATCCAACAGCAACCCACTGTAGGCGGAACTTGGCGCTGATTAAACTGAATTGACTACAGCTGAGATAGTCTACTGATAACAATATATGAAAAAAGAAGCAGAGATACAGTAGACAATCTAAAATATTGGTTACAAACAGCATTTAGTGATTATGTTTTAAAAAGTGTAAAAGAGTAGACCTCTGTAGTGTCTGTTCATGATGTTAATTTGGCCGAAAGTGTTTTGTTCCAAATTGCAATCCGTAAATCTACAGCCCGCAAATCGAGATTGAGGTCTGATACCCCAAATCTGTAATAACACTTTTAATCAAACTCGCACTCCATACTTGTTTACTAAATCTTTTCTTCCTGCTAGAACACTTACACAAACTAAAAAAACATCTACTGGCTTAAATGATACACACCATTCTGTGAATGAGTTCCCATTAAGAATTATTCCTGAATGCAGTAAAAGTATGTAGAATTTTTGAAAATAGTGGTTAAATTACTGGTTTCCTATTCATGTCAAACTGGAAAGACAATCCGACAGCCCTGCCTCCAAGTGACCTGAATATAACCTGACTTAGTGACAGTCTGAGAGGTGGATTTTGAGGGACTGGTTTGAGGCAGGCTGCCACGATCAGGTTGTTAAGGTCTCTTTCTCACTGAGAATGTTTTTTCCCCCCACATAACCACTACCTGCATGTACATTTTCTTACCCACAATACCTTCAAATTTTGTTTACTGTGAATGACAGCCACAGTAAACGAAGACAATAAATGTATCCTAACATGAAAGCTAGGCTATATCAAGACAGACCAGGGATTTCACAAAAGAAAATAAGGTCAGTTTAAGTTTCTGCTCCCTTTATTGTGACGCATTCTCATAAAACACAAACTTGAGTCATGTTAGGAAATATGCAAGTTTTGTACTACATTTTTTTTTTACTTATTAGAAGTACCTCTTACAGATGACCATCAAAAATGGTACTCTTGTGTAAAGATCCGGATGTTTTGTTTCACCGTCAATACAGTGAAAGCTGGGTTCAGTGTAAGACCAAATTCTGACCCCTGTGACACATTTCTGTTAAGTTAAATCAGTGTGGAAAAACTTGCACTCATATGACCAGGACCAGTGTGGACAATTATTTGCAACTTGAAGCCAACCCCAAAGAACTTAAAAGGTTAATAACCACTTCTCGTCTTTTGGTGTTTTTTTAAGTTCCTAGTAAAAGAGTCAGGAAAACACCTTACAACTCCACATTCAGCTTTCCTTTTGAGTTCTTACAAATCGTCACCCTATTAAAATAATGGCCTCAGTCATTTTTTGACAAGAGTTTTTGACATAAATTATCTTTTGATAACGCTGGCCATCTCTGGTAAAATCGTTTAAATCCTTGGTAAGCAATTATTTCTAAGAGGGTGAAGATATTATAAAAATGTTGATACTGCATTAGTTTGCTTTTGATGCGTCTGCCTGGGTGTGTAGTGGTACTTGACAAACAGATCCAACTGACCAAACATCAGGTTGATTTGACACTTTATTGAAACTGTAGAAAATGTGCTTTTTTTTTTTTTTTACAGAGTGAAATGTTTTTCTTCTTTGACACCCATCACCAGGTTAGTGTTCATGTTGTCTCTTGCCATCTGAAATAGAAAATGAGCAAGTCGATTAGGAAAAAGATGCACTTTAATGAAATGCTCTGAAACATCCCTCACTAAAGTTGATGATAGTGATGATCATTAGGATTTGATCTCTGGAGCTCATCTTAGACTGCACAGAAACAGGGAAAGCCAGATGTTTTTCTTGAACTAAAAGAAACACTGTAAAGCCCATCCATAGCTCTCTTTTATGCAGCAATTTCCCCAGCTTAAGAGCGGGCCTAGATAATATTTGCTCCCTAAGTAACAGAGTTTTACCTGTAGGGGGCAGCTAACTTTTTCCCCTCACCACTCCGAGAAGAATTTCAGATGCAAAGAAACACGTCTAGTCTCCCACTACCAAAGTAAAAACTCTCTATTGTTACTCATGTGATGTCTTACCATCTGTAGAATTCAGAAAAACGGAGGCAGCCACAGAGACCATGTTTCCAATCTAAAGGGAAGAGAGACCTGAATGTTAAACTTCTTCACTTCACCAAATGTAGTTTTTAAGCTGCTGCCATTTATTGTTCAGAAAACCGAGAGTCACCACCAAACAATCTGCCGGTAATTCCAGCTATTTTCAGTTTAGATTTCATCATTACAACAGTTGACAAATAGTTGACTGTTAAATACAAACAATATACCTGCCAAAGACTGAAGACTGGGAAAGGCCCTGACCAGCATAGTGTCACCTATGATAGAAACAGGTAAAAAATTAGATGCCAAGAATTCATTTTAACAACTTATCCCTTCGAGTGGGTAGCTTTCAAGGTCTCAGAGGAGTGGATTAAACACAATCGTCAGTTGTCGCATCTGACGGCACTTCCTATTCCAGGTTTTCATCACTGACAGAAGCTACTCAAGGATATCCAATGATCAAATAAGCTCAATAAAATGCTCACTTGACAAAATTCTTAACTTAAACGCCATTTTCAGCTGCAAATGGTTCCTTCAGCACTGTTTCAACTCTTACTATGAATTTCAGTTTTTTTGTAGCACAGATTAAGAGAGTGCCAACAGTTCAACATTTGAGATCACGGCTGAAACAATTAATGCAACATCTGTTACTCATTTTAGTTGCATTTGTTAGGTTGCTTTCCTTTACTCAATTTCAGAAATCCAGATTCTTTCAGCTCTTTTGAAGTCATCTACAAGCCTGATTAGTGTTCAAATCAGTTATGTATTGAGAATTTTTGTGAGCAGAAGCTTATTTGAAATAAGTTTAAGACTGTAACTTACAAGAATCAAAGGTCATGGCAGCAGCACCATCCTGAGGTGAACCAGCCTTTCACAGGAACCAGCTCTGCCTTGAGACATCAGAAAGAAAAACTGTAAAAACTAATACCGATCAAATCTCTTCAAGAAAAAAGAATTCTTAGTTTTGTGTTCAGAAAACCAATATTCACCACCAACAATCTGACGGTAATTCCAGCTATTTTAGTTTAGGTTTCATCACAACAGAAGCAGACATTTACCACTTTAATAACCGATAATAAAACCTTACCTGCAGACAGCGCATCTTCACTGGGCTGGTTAAGTAGAGAGCCTACAAAGGGCCGTGCCTGAAGAGAATAATAAACATAAGATGATCTGATAAGAGCAGCTGTATTACACAAACTCAGAGACCATCAAAAACTGTCTTTGTAGGTAACTTTATACCACTGTGATGTGCTGGCAGTATGGGACTTGATTTGTTAGTACGGCATTGAGGGTATGAATGGTATGACAGCACCCTCTGGTGGGGCTCCGGCAGACACAAGGGCCACACCCTGTGTATCAATGCCAGTCCTCTGTACACAATTGACCTAAAATTCTCGTTACAACCAGAATACTGGCCTGCTGGTGTCAAAAGTGGGTGTTGGTGTGTGGAAAGAGAATTCACAACAGGCTACAATGAGGACAGCCTTACCTATGGACCCAAGACTCGCCATTCTTAGCAGGTGCATTCCCTGGACTTCACATCTCCTGATGCAGCTCAACCAAGTTTTTCAGCTACAAAACAAATAGAAGACGTGATGTTTAAGTTTCATCTGTTCAATAAACTGATGAATTTTATAATGTTTTGCACAACACCCAGTTAAGGAGCACAATTTGGAAACCAACCTCAATCCAGCTTCATCCTTGATCTTCAATAGGTAACATCTGAAGATTTCTTAAAAACAACCAAAAAAAAAAAGTTAGTCATCTCCACAGATAATAAAAAGATCAGCATCTAGAAACTGCTATCTAAAGTCTCAGAACAGTGAGTATGAAACATCGTCAGTTATCGCATCAGACGGCACTTCCTATTCACAGTTTTCATCACTGACACAACAGAAGAGACATTATGGTTAACTTAGCTATCATTTACCTCTCGGGGACATGTGGACTCTCCATACGGCCCACTGAGGAAAGTGACATGGCGTCCATCTGAAAAACAGAAAACTATTACTGCCTGGTACAAGGAGACAACTAAGCAATGTAAGAGCCTAGAGTGATGAAACATCAATCGTGATGCTAAAATGATTACAAAGATAACATCTCACCTCTGTCTTAAAACTTGCTCACTCCCACGTGGCTGTTCAAGGCCTGATGCGGCTGCGTTAACTTCAAGATTATGCTAGTTTACGGCAAGTTAAACTGATACAAAATCCTGAGAAGGTTCACCTTACTTCACCACTGTAGAGTGAGTACAACTTGCACCTAAAATCATCCAAGTTTTAACTTCCAACAATAGCGTCTTAAGCACCCACATGTGCTATGATAGTCTTGCAGAGCGGAAAGAGGAAGCTGTAGCCGCATAGTCGATCTTTTAAAGCATAGGCAGCGTCGCGGGGATATGACGTCTTAGGCACGCGCACCTGCGCATTACGTTCAAGACGCTTTGGCGGCAACTGTTGTACTGGAGTGGGGTAGTTTTTTTCATTTTTACCCCCAAAGTAGAAATTAAAGCTCTCATAGGTAAATAAATAAATAAATGAATAAAATGAGAAGTATTTTTGACTTAGCTTCTGATACAAATTTATTTGGGGCAACGTGACAGAAAGTTGTAAACGGTGATGGTCACATGATGGTGCTGTTTCACGGATTACCACTGTTCTCAAATACCACTCAGGGTCTCACTAGATGCGTGATTTTTCAGTGGAGAGGTTCACTTCTCCGCTTTGAGCTTCATTTGGTTTTGGACTTCTTTTTCACAGCAGCCTTTGGATATCACATCACACTCCCACACCCAGAGCACGTTTCTTTCAGCTTTTTCTCGTTAATAAAAAACAGGTGAGTCTGAGTTTTGTTGTTTTAACTTAACCTATTCAGTCTCTTAAAGTATTAGGATACGTTTTTTATTCTCTCTTTCTCATATTTTCTGCCTAGTTGATGTGTCAAACCTTATTTGCGAGTTACATGTATTTTTTAACCTTATTCTCCTCAAACCTTAACTATACATTGACTAATAAAAAAATGTCACATCAAAGTTTGGTTGGCTGTGTCTTTGCTTAAATATTCCTGTGATTATCATGAAGAACTTTTAGTTGGCAACCTTTTGTAAAGAAGGAAATCAAAAGGAAGTTCTGCTGCTCATCCTTTATACTTGGAGCAGACTCTGAACCTGGAATACTGAATTACTCTGTTTCAGGAAAAGCAAGAGGAACTCAGTTGTGTCTCCCCATGGTTGTGTGGATGGAGTGGTGAGAGGAAAAAGATGTGTGGGTCCTCTTGAAGTTAAAAACACAAAGTGTGTTTGCTCATGGGTGTGTGTTTTTGTGAATGAAAGTGTGTGTTGATCTGCTGTAACAGTATGTTGCCACCTGTGAAGAAGGACAGAGTCATAACCCAGCTCCCCAAAGTGAGTTCACACTAACACACAGTACACACACACTGGGAGTAATAGTCAAAAGATGTTTGGATTTAGTTTGCCAAGCTTCGTCTTGTTGTGCCTCTTTCCATTTTTCTTTCTGTGGTTGACTCTTTCCTCTTCCTTCTTTCTTCACAGTGTTTTAGTCCAAATGCAGCATTACACACCAAAGATGGCTTCCACCCACAGGTGAAGGCTATTTGCCAGGTACAGAAGGCAGGAACATTAAGGTAAGTATACAGAAAGGTTAATAAACTGACACAGACAGCCTCTAATAATGCGGCTTTGCACACTCTGATATGGGTTTGAATCAGATTATTTCAGGCAGAGTCCTTTAAGTCATGCTGTGTCAGCTGACTGCGCTGCACCACACCCATCACAAATGAGCGCATCGATGGGGGTGGCGTCTATCTACAAGACACTTATTGTGCTCCATTTGTCCCGTTTGATGTTTTACTAACAGGATAAACGGTTGTTACATATGAGCAGTTACTTCCAATTCTGTGCATTTAAATGCAAACTCAAATAACGCAAATATGAGTTTGTTTGTTTCTCAAGACTCTTGAATCAGCTTGGCAATGTAGCTTTTAGGAAGCTGATTTCATACAGCAACCTGCTTTGCATCTTTTGAAAACTCCATTAGCTGGAGGGTATACATATTTAGTGCAGTAATAACAACAGGACAATGTATGAGGGGCTCCCATTTAAATCCAAGGTAGGAAAGAGCACAAGCTTAATCAAATTAGTTTTGATAATTGAGACAAAAATTAAGATGAAATAATACATTTAATAGATAATACAAGTTTGCTATTTTTTTGGTCAGACTCTTTTCATTTGTTTATAACTAGACGATTTAAAATATGTCAGAAGTTATTGATTGAAGGCTTTACAGCTCTAAAAGTCTTGACCTCCACGTGCTTCACTTCTACAGGAAAAACATGTATTTGACTTTGATAGATGGTATGAAACAATAGAGGGAAAGAGCTTCATTTTAACTTTAAAAGAATTACAGCAGAGTTTAATTCAAGTCTGTGTGATTGTACATCAGCTTATTTATATATTCTTAAATCAAGATTTGGCTGAAAACACACCTTTTAATGAAGCTTGTGAGTGCATCAGTCAGGAAAAAAATCATCTTATTTGTCAAGTCAATTATTCAGTTTAATTTTAATACGGGAACTGTTTGGGAAGGACCAAAAGCTTTCTGTGTTTTATCTAAGTAATATCACATATAACTCAATGCTTTTTCAAATACAGAGAAATTACAGAAGTTGTTCTAGAAATTGTAAAAGCTGCAAGGTAGGTCTCAGGGCCTGATTTAACTTAAAGTTTGTGTTAAGTTTTGCATCCCTTGGAGAAAGCTGTACATTTGAACTTTGAGCTAATCTTCTGCTGCACACGTGGAAGCAGTGTTCCCCGATCCCCCCCAAAACACAGAAAAAAAATTAATCTCTTTTAACAGTCAAACTGTCAATGAATTTTCCATCAACAATTTTTGCAAAAAATGTAAAACAAAAACTGTTTCAGCATCCTGCACTCAGTTACTTTGCCTCAGACGTCACAAATAACTGAAGAAAGAATAATCTGACAATCATGTTTGTTGTTGTAGGTCATAATATGGCATCAGTATTAATTTTAGTTTGTTTCATAAGCAGCTAAAAACTCCTCACAGCTGCTGTTGTGTTGAGTTATGAATGACTGATAACATCATTGTCTCTCTGTCTGTTTGCAGCTTTAATATTGCCAAAGTCATCGTGGTGGGGGATGTTGCAGTTGGAAAAACCTGTCTGATCAGCAGGTGAGAAACTGTATTAAATAATACGAGTAGTTTCAGGTTAACTTTGATGTTTTTTTAGGATAATTCTCACTGGGTTCTTCTGTTAAAGGTAAGGTAAGTTGTTGCTTATTTTAGCCTTTAGCTTAATGCTGTTCATTTGACATTAGGAAGTCTGCCTGCTCCAGTACTCACACTGATCTATAAGGGAGCGTGTGTGATCTAAGGTAAACTTAATCAAATCCCACAATGTCTAAAGAAGATTTCATGTGATCAGGTTTTCTAGGTTAGGATGCAAATCATCTTTAAGGGTCTAACTAGGTTACATTCAGTTTGATACAGATCTGAGATTAAGATCCTGTTCTCAGAAAAGTAATTAGTTCCCCATAAAATAATCTGTGTAATAAAGACACTTATTATCAGATGTTACATGAAGTCTTTCATGTTCCTTCGAGGTTTCGTAAAGGTGCGTTTGAAAAGAACTACAAGGCGACCATTGGCGTGGATTTTGAGATGGAGCGTTTTGAAGTGCTCGGTGTTCCCTTCAGTTTACAGCTGTGAGTATATCTCTACACCAAAGAGGAACATTCGGTTGACACTTAAATTTATTTACTGTAACTCACTTAAGTTTTTAAGGTTAATCAGGTCAACTGAGCCTGTTAAGATCTGTACAATCTGTAAACTTCAGGTGGGACACGGCAGGTCAGGAGCGATTCAAGTGCATCGCTTCTACATATTACAGAGGAGCTCAAGGTGAATTCAGCTCTTTGTCTCAACTTGATCACAACATGAAACCTCAACATGAAATTAAAGTATATAGTGATTAATCATACTCTTCCTGCAGCTATCATTGTGGTGTTTGACCTGAGCAGTGTCACCTCTTTGGCTCATGCCAGGTAAGATTTACATTTCACTATGATCTCATTAAAAAGTCATTTGAAGTCCACTGTGTTGTGACTGTTTGTGTGTGTAGACAGTGGCTGGAGGACGCCATGAAGGAAAATGACCCATCCAGTGTTTTACTGTTCCTTGTTGGCACCAAGAAGGACCTCAGCGTGAGTGAAATCTATGAAATGGGTCGAAAATAGAGTTGAATTATGTGATCAACAGAGTGAGAGTCGTATAATTAGACTGTTTAGTGATGGTTACTTAGAGTAATTTAGAAAATAAAATCACAATTTTACTACTCCTGCTGGTGACCAAAGGTTTTCTTTGGTTTTCTTCTGTCCTCTCTCCTCAGACTCCTGACCAGTTGGCTCACGTTGAGCAGGAAGCCATCAGACTCTCTGAGGAAATCAAAGCAGAGTACTGGGCTGTATCTGCCAAGTCAGGTGGGATTCAGACACCATCAGAACATGAGTTCATCCTGATATCCCATCCATAAATCTGTCTTTCATATCTTCTTTTGTCCTCTATCAGTCTGAATAAGCTTCCCTCTGTCTCTGTTGTTCCAGGAGACGGCGTCAGGGAGTTCTTCTTCCGTGTGGCCTCTTTGACTTTCGAGGCCAACGTTTTGTCTGAGATTGAGAAAAACGGCTCGAGGCAGTTTGGGGACATTATCAGTGAGTCACTTTGTTCAGAAAAATCGTCAGTGAAAACAGTGTGATACTTTCAGTGATTTTGACTTTTAGTCTTACAGCTAAACTTGGTTTGATGTTGATTAATCTGTAGAGCTATCCAGTGTGTTTTTTAATAGTTTCAAAAGGGCAAAGAGTTTTATGTTCTCAGTTACGTTTCCCTATCAGTTGATTTTGAAGCGTCAGTTTTTCTCATGACACACATAAGCTCAAGCATCACCGTAGTAATTTCCTTCAGGCTTCTGCATACCACTGGTTTGGATCAGAACATTTAGCAGATAAAAATGAAGCATATGAAAAAAAAAGCACATTGCATCAGTCCATTACTAACATGTCCAACTCTCTGTGTGGTCCATGTCTTCTCTTTGAAAATGGAAACACTCAGTAGCAGAATGAAGGATTTTAAATGAAGGAAATGATGAAAACTGAGCATGACTTCATACTTACTTGTGTTTGATCTGGATGGAGTTTATTTCTCACTCAAACTGTAGTATATTCTGTTAGTTAGTTAGTTAGTTAGTTAATTAGTTTGTAAGTTAGTTAGTTAGTTAGTTAGCCCAAGAAGCTTAAGGTGTCCTGTAGGCTTTCACGTCTGTTTTTATTGTAAATACTTGTGTTTACCCTTAGTTTCTCTCTCTCTAAAATGATCATCTTTAAAACCTCCAGGTTGTCCATGTTTATTTTAAGAGTTAGTTTAACAATGGGGCTGATTCAGGTGTTTTAAAAAGCCAGTTTAAAGCTTCTTTGGTTCTTTACATTGTTTTTTTAAAAACTATTATTAGAAACACACATATGTTTCTGGTGGTTGGAGCTACTTTTTTCTGTTCCTCACATTTTGAATTCTGAAAAACATCATTTTTTTTTTTCCTCATCTGATTTTTGTCTCTCACAGGGCTCACCAGCAATACAGACAAGAATTACCAACCCACCAGAAGGAGGTCCAACTGCTGCTAAGTGGACAAACCACTGCTCGGATACACACACACATGAACACTTGAGGAGAAAACAAAATCACAGACCAAGAGTGTTTAGTTTGGATACCTTGAACTGTCCTGAACTCGGGTCAACAACATAACATTGTATTTGCGGGGCCTCCAAGTAGCCTGAGAAGGAGCTAATTCTACGATTCATATAATGAAGCTGAGGTAGTAAACAAGCAGAAATCCTCTCAGGAATGTTTGTACGACAAATAAAGCTTTGTGATGTGCTCAGTAAACATTTATGAAAAGAGGATCATTATTCCCCTCTGGATCTTTTATTAAATTCTGCTCAGTTGATGTTGTCATAATCACGTGTCTTAAGAAGCATTACTTTTGTTGTGAGCTGATGTTTGTACCTGATGCATTTTTGTTGGTTTCCTCACTGGTCTCCTGTCATGTGGCTGCCGCTAATGTGATGCATACGCCGACCCTCATGACTGCCGTCACACCCACAACTCTTCCTTCCCTTCCAACGAGAGTTCTCATGATCCTGAAAATGGAGGGATTGTTTGCAGGGATAAACACGCACTCATCTGAAGTTAATAGATTTTCTTCACTTATTACAGCCAATAGATGGAAGTTTGTCTTTACATTAACTAGTTTCTGATTAAATATATACGTATGCTTGTATTAAGGCTCATAGAATATAAACTGTAAATAAAATTTTTTAAATGACTATGCTGTGTTGGTTTAAAAATGTTCTTCAAAATGTAAATAGAGCTTCAATTCTTCACACTATTTCTTCACACTATTTAATTTCCCACTGTGATGATAATGCAGGATGCAAACACAAAGATACATCACATGCCCAGACTGCCAGTCTGTCTCCAAAAGCAGCATGAAGAAGACTTCAGGTTTAATATGAACACTTTTATTAAAGGGATCACAAGTAGAAAAGGTCATCAGCAGTGCCAGAGACATTTCTCCTCCATCGCCAACTACTGCCGACAACCAATCACATCCCTTGATGAAAAAGACCCAGCATTCTAATCTGGCAAAAACATAAACTCAAGCAAGGTTTACTCAAAACATAATCCTTTAAAACAATAAGCATATTTATGGGACCATGATACTCTGCACACTGCAAAATGAAGCAAACCATTAAATACGAGCGCTGCTTGTACGTGCTGTGGCACAGAGACACAGCTGTGAGAGAAATAAGATGCGCAAGTCAAGAGGGATGCAGAGGCTCGAACAGCCGCACAAAAAATACAAGTGATTTCATTCGACTGAAACAGCTGTGTGCATTTCACATATCATACAGAGCTAGGAATATAAACAAAGTGGAAAGTCCGTTTGATGTTAATCATCCACAGAATTAAGAAAAATGTTTAATTCTCAACTGAAATGTAATTTTCTGTTTCCACCATCTTAGATGACGTTGCTGCAGCAGTGCAGAAAGACGTTGCATCCTGTGAGGTGGCAAAAATCCTAACCCCAAAAATCAAAGTAAAGCACTCTGAACTGTAAACAGGTAAGATATGCGAGATTAGAATAGTGTTAACTTTATAGAAAATTACCTTTAGACACAGTCAATGCTGTCCTGAAGCAGCAAGATGCTTTCACTTTCCCTGTTAGATTTCTTGCTAAAACCTTTAAAACATGAACAGACTTCTAATCTGCACCGTCTCACAACAATGCAGATTAAGTCATTACTTATAACCGCTGTCAGCCCGGTTGTGACACACAGTCGGTGTGAGCACAACATGCTGTGAGCAAGTCCGTAATACTTTAAGAGTCTTTCGAGAGGAGCGAGAACGCGGTCAGCGGGTCATAATACATCAAGTGACAAAACCGAGAAATGATAATTCACTGCACTCCCCCCACATTCGCTGTGTTTGTGTGCGTATTTGTACAGTCACAGATGTGTTTACTTTGACAGATGTGAAGAGCAGAGGCTTTATGTTTCAACAGAAAAAAAATACAGTCTTTATTCATTCTGGCGCATACAAAAAAAATTCCATTTCCTGATCGGCTTGGCAAAGCGCTCTTTTGGCATCAACCATAAAGAGGAAGAAATGTGAGTGTGCCCCTCTGTCATGACCATTCATGGATCAAACTAACACCAATCATACAAATAAGGATAGCAGGACAGCTCGCTGACATATTCTGTGTAGGTCCATATCCTTTATGTAACTGCTGTCAGATAATTCAAGTGTTTTTCTGTCACTGTTTCGACTTTCTTCATGTAATATACAGTTATTCATACTATACAAAATACTAACCAGCCAGAGGAGGTTAATGGGGAGGAGAGGAACCTTTGAAATGAGATGGGTGGACAAGAGGGACAACAGGAAGAGGGTGAGACGAATCATGATAGATAAACTGCAGCTACAACATCAGGAGGTGAAGAGAGCGGGTAAAAGGACAGCTAGCTGGATACTATGAGCTCCAGCGGGTAGAAATGGGCTGAGGGATGGTGGGAAACACATCAGGAGGAAGGTTATTCACATGACGAAGCAGTATGGAGGGTGAAGTAGGGCGGGGGTGGGGGGGTGGTGGTGCCCCCCTGCCTGTCCTATCGGTCCATTTCATCCAGCAGGGGTGTGGCGTCTCCAGCTATGGACATGGGTGTGCTCTCTATCATGGGGCTGGGTGACGGTCGTGGAGTCATTCTTTGGGCTTTCTTCCTGCCCTCCGCTTCCTTCTCCTTCAGCCACTGCTCCGCCATCTTGCCCCAGTCCACCGCGGAGGAGTTGCTGCCGCTTGCCCTGTGGGGAGGGAGGAGAAAAGGGGAGGAGCTTTCGTTAGTGACAGAGAAGGAAAATAACAGTAGAGGAGGGGTAGGAATCGACCTCAAAGTGATAAAAGTTTGTTGATTTAGCACCACCTATTGGTAGAGAACACCCCTTGAAGGCAGTGGCTCCTTGTTTAGAAGTATTATTAGAGAGATATTCTGTAGTAAATCACTCAAACAAGAAAAAAACAACATGCTTCTCACTAAGTTTTCACATAGAACACCCCTGTACTTACTTTGGCTGCGGCGTTGGCTGCTGCTGCTGCTGTGGCGTCCGCCCTCTTGATGACGTCGAGGACGATGGCGTGCCAGACGAGTGGCCATGGTGACTGCTGTGATGGCCGTGGTGGCTGTGGTGTGACACATGACTGCCATGTGGGTGGGCGTGTGCATGAGAGTGCGACGACTGGGGGGTGGAGCCCGGATACTGGGGCGTACCGAGGGCCTGCTGGCTCGGTGTGGTGTAGGAGTAGCTGGGTGTCATCATGGGTGTCGCCATTGGCTGCTGAGGGGTGGCAAATACCTACACACAGAAAATCACGTCATGAGTGTGGCTCACACAGGTACTCAAGAATTAAGACTCTACAGCTGAAAAAATGATGAACTTTTCAATCATACAAATATCATCCAACAGGTCCAAATGTCAGGCCCTCAACATCACCAGAAGAAGCGACAAAACTGCACTCACATGATAAGCTGAGGAGCTTCCTCCACCTCCACCCGTGCTGCCTCCATAGCCGTACTGGCTGGAGCTCCACTGAGCAGGGGTGGTGTTGGGGTTCTGGCCCTGGCTTGCGACTGCAGCAATGGCACTGAACATGTTGCGTGGGAGGGCGTTGACAGCTCGTGTCAAGTCTAGGGAGGAAGGAATTCAAGAATTGTAAAACTCCACTGGTGCTGGAGAGAGACAGAGAACGAAAGAGAGAGTGTGTGTGTTTGTGTGTGTAGTAGAGAGATGGACTCACCTGCGATGTTGATGTTAGCCGGGGTGGCATTCAGGGATGCAGGAGTTCTTGTTCGGCTGCTGTTGCTTGGAGTAATGCCTTTAGACGAGTAGAACAAGTAGGAGAGATATTTTCAGTGGTGGTTACAATCATGAGCTGTTACAATATTTAACTCCTGGTTGGTTGGTGTTCAGCAGTGGTGTAAATTATTCTATCATACCAGCTTTTCAGGCAGATCATTCCTGACATGCTTTTCATGGTTTTAAAATTTGAGCCTTTGAGTTTTGGTGAATTCCTCAGTGTCATTTCGGCAAGCTACTTCGCACTTTGACCCCATTTTGTTTTTTCATACTTAAATGCAATTGTTTAAATTTTTATTAAATGCCCAGCAACAAGCTTTATTTTGATGAATTTTGAACTCTTACTGCTAACACCTCAGCTGTGTTCAAGCCTCCTGGTTGTCCAGCAGGACACTGAGTCATTTCAGCAGTGTTTGACTGTTTGTCTTATACTCCTAGATTTCAGCTTTCAGCATTTTCATCAAAGAAAAAGCAATTTTCAAGGGAAAAGTGTCTCTTTTTAACGACTGTGGAAAAACAAACAAACATCTGTGTGTTTTTGTACCTGGCACAGGCTCTTGGTAATGGTCCTTAAACCAACGGAATAGTCCGTTCACTGTGGGAAATATCTGTGAACGGTAGCGGAAGCCATTCGGGGTGATGGTCACAAACTCAACTCTGGAGAAAAACAAAACAAAAAAGGTTCAGTTATGAAGATAAAGTGTGCTGGTCTCATTTTAAAACACGGAGAATTAAACATGTCTCTGCAGTGGAGAGGTTGTGTGCGCAGGTAGTTAAAATTTGTGTGATTTTGAATAATGCCAAAACTCACATTTGCAAACCTTAGCTGGTGTAAAAAGCTTTAGATGTCACCATTATGTTACCAAGGTGATTACGAACATTGATATGTAGTCTCTCTTATTGTGTGAGCCTGTGCTGCTTCAGTGAAATCCTGCCAACTTGTTGATTTAGTATTTTTATCCATTGAGCTGAAACAATCAATAGTTAAACGTCATGTAGGAGAGAAAACAAAAACATTTCTGCCTACCTTGGTTTTCCACGAGGCTGGTAACCCAGTATGAACTTTCCTGGAAGTTCTTTACATGCCGAGATAAAATAGGGAATAAAAGTGGGTTTCTCCCTCTTTGTCCTGACCAACAATTCCTCCATTTTCTATCAGAGAAGAAAAGAAATGAGGGTGAAAGGTGAAACTCCAAACAAAACCAAGTTTTAGGAAGATTAAAGACTGCAAACTTGATGATCTACTCAGGATAGTCATATTGTACATACCTCCTTGTTCCCCCCATGGCAGTCCTGGAAGTACTTGTGCCCAAGAAGATCCCGCGCAAATGAAGCCATCGGCTGGATGTATCGGGCAGTGATTTCATCCAGATCTTCAAACTCCTGTAGAAAATGCAAGAAACTCTTTTAAGAACATTCAGGATCAACGTTTTTCTGATTTAAGTTTGACGTTGAGGCACAAAGATCATGCCAAATAAAAAAACTGCTTACTTCGTTGTTGATCCAGAGGGTGTGCCCTAAGCTGAAGGCATTCTCTTTTCCCTCTTCTCTCACATCCACATGCTGGTAGATACCATCAGCCACCTATCAAACATTGCACTGAGTCAGCCCTGAACGTCAAAAAGTAGAAAGCTCCAAACTTTATTTTGGCACCCTTGTGTATAACTCCAAAGCTTTACTACGAGCTGCATTTTCCAGTTTTCCCTCTTATCAGCCTGCTGCACTCCTCTAGGTTTCTTACCTTCCATGTAACCGTGAGATGGTTCTCTCCCTTGCTGCTGGGTCTGATGATCAAGTCTCCCTGATCCAGGGTTTCCATCATCTTCTCTGCCTGGTTGAAACTGATGTTGTGGAAGTTTGGATGTGCAATGACACGTTTTATATACGCTGGGCAAAGGAAGCAGAGGACAGAGACATGATGTAAAGACGATGTGGAGGTAAGTAAGAGAAAAGTTTAGGTTGATATCTCTATTTTAAAAACTGCATATCATTTTTGGTAGACTAACGTGTTCTCTGTTGTTTCTTTTTGAGCTCCTCCTCCAGTTTATGGTCTTCAGACTCTGTGTCAAAATCATAGTAGCTGTCCTTGGGGAGCTTCCACTCATTGGCTTTGTCCATCAAATCTGATGTGCGGCATGTGAGGTCAACGCTGAATTTCTCAATGTCGATTTTCATGATACGGCAGTGAACCGTCATGCCCACCTAGGGGAGGAAAAAAGTCACTTATTACATATAAAAATAGATAAAGGAAATTAACAGAGGCCTCGATTTCTGATTGGTGTATCAGGATTGAGAAGTGTACCTGACATCAGCGGATAAAGATCAACCAAAAGACAAACTAAACACTCCTCACCTTTACTCTCTCCTCTGGATGTTTAACCACTTTGTCACTGAGAAACTTGGTGGGAATGAATCCCTGTACGCCGTTATCTAATCTTGACCGGACTCCGATAGCTTGACCCGGACACGACCCGCTGTCAAAGTGATTCCAAACCTAAAGAGGCAGGGAGAAAACAAACCCACACTCTGTTAGACTCTGAACCCAGCTGCTTTTAAACACAAAGAGAAGAAGAAAACTCAGGTGGTACCTCGCTGAGTTCAGGGAAGTTGTCCTGCTGGCAGAAGGGACACTGCCACAATCCTGTAGCGTCGTTGCGGATAGCCTGGTCGTAGCTCTCTCCCTGAGGCCTTCGGTGAGCAATACCTGTTACAACACTGGTGATCAGCTTACCTGGAAGAGAAGGAGGGTCAAAGATTAAGACAAATGCCTACAATGGTCAGATTAATCGGCTAAGAGCTGTTGGTGGGGTTCAAAGTATTTTCATTGATTTTAGATATGCTGTGGGTGAACTTTGGTGCAGTGGATTACCAATATAAAAGGTCTCTGGAGTCTCCTTGGTGAGCATATTGAACACCTCCTCTGTGTTAGGGACTCTGTAGGCAACTCTTAGGTCTTTGTACCTGCAGCTCAACTCAGCACGGATATCATAGAGGGTAATCCCTTTGTTGCCGTAACCCTAAAGGTAATAAACAAAGAAGAGAACAATAAGAAGGATAAGCTGCAGGCATGTGAAACATGGATTAAGTTTGTTTTGGCTTTACAGGTTTCTGAAATTAACAGCTGGGCCTCAGACTAATAATAGTGAGTAATCTGCACTGTACAAAGCTATTAAACAACAGCATGCCTGAGATATTCAAAGCTTAAACACACAAACTGACCTGTCTCTCAAGCTCCTCTGCAAAGGCATCCAGGTCCAGATCTTTGAGACGCTCAGGATTCTCCAAGATCTCCTCCAGAGCTCCTGCTGGGTTAGCATCTTCTGCCGACTCGTCATACTCAAGGGCGTCCACAGCCATCTTACGAGCCCACTCATATGTCTCAGGGTGGACTCGAGATCCATCCAGAACCTCGATGTAGGAGTCCGTACTGTGTAGAAACCAGGGGTTTAAATACCCTCCCAACAGACTGAACTGTAGCACTGGGCTAGACTGGTCTAGATGCAAAGACCTCTTAAATCAACAAACCTGTCTCCGAGTGAAGCAGTGTCGATCTTGATGAAACCGGCACAGTTGATAAAAACTTTAGGTCCCATGTGACACATCGTGACCAGCTGAGTTCTGTTTTCCAGGCGAGTGTTATTCTGCTTCAGAATCTGCGCAGAACACAAAGACCCCGATGGTTAACAGGTCATCAGATACACTGAAATGTTTGTTTCATTTAGATATTACAAAAGAGTTCATTTAGAGCGGTACAAAATTTTACCTTGAGCAGATGGGAGCCCTTCCTGGGTCCTAGACCACAAACGTACTGGACCAGGCTCTGAGTGTGAGGATGTGCGATGGCCTTGTTCACGTCTACTCCAACCTCATTGACACGATTGATGAATTCACAGTACAGAGCACAGAGCAGATCCTCCTTCACAACGTGTTCCTGAGAAAGAGCAGTGAAAAGGACAGCTAAAAACAACGATGTCCAAAAAGCAGCACTGCTGGTCGTCCTGATATCCTTCTGTTGCCAAATGTCTCAAAACATTTGCAGATTAAAAAGCTAACAAGTATCCAGTTTGTCTTCTTGAGTCCCACAGTAATGTCACAGAGGATGCTGTAAATCTGGGTTTGCCACTTTTTTTTGATGTGGCTTGATCTTGGTCTCTTACCTGAAGTGGGTGCAGTTTGAGGCAGAGGATATCGTCATCAGTGCTGCAAACCTGAGCATACTCGATCAGTGGATCCTGGATCTTCCTGGCTATTGACACAGCCTGTCTTAGCAAGGGCGGGTAATCCCTGAAGTCCACCTGTGCAGAGAGAAAACCGGAGGTCAAAGGAAGCATTTGTGAAGTGAACAACCACAGGGGAATGTGTCTCATCATACACCGACACAACAGCTACGAGCAGTCAGAGGCAGGTGTAGATGTTATCATTGACTACAAAAAGACTGAATGCCAGTTTGCGCACAAATTCATTCGGCTCACATTTCTTCAATGAGACTCCGTGTGTTCAGTATTTACCTCAGACTTTTTGCTGTTCATGTACAGTGTGGCAAGTTCATTGTCAACAAGCTCTACTCCCACGGCGGGCAGAGACGACTCCTGCTCGAGCTCGCTGATGGTCCTCTTGATGTCCTCCATGATCATTTGAGCATCCCTACAACACACATCGTGGTTCAGGCACTTGAACACTCTCTCAAATGTAAACAAGTTCATTTACAGCAAAAGTGTTTTAATTACCTGTTTTCCCCAGCGACTGCAACCACATGGGGTTTCTTGCCGGACAGAAACCTCTTGAGATTTTCGATATCATGGGCCTGAGGATGAATGACACACGCTAATGAGTGATTGTCTTAAAAATGCATCCAGTGCTGTGCTTGCCAAGCAGAGAGACCGACAAAAATCATGTTTGTTGCTTGTACCTTCTTCTCCCTCTCATCATCCCTGAAAGCATTCCTCCTCTTCATGAAGTAAGGCAGACGTAAGAAGTCAACCACCTCTCCCTCACCGTTGATCAGAGCGCAGAAAACTGGGGTGTCTCTGTAAGTAAGAAAAGTTTGAATCAGGATTTAATTTTAAATTCCAGCTGTTGGTATTTTGAGGAAAAAAATGTCATTATTGTGAGACATGTACCTGCTTGGGGCATAGGCTACACCCAGCACCCGAATGCCTTTGCCTTGACTTTCATCCATCAGATCATCGTCCTCCTCCACCTGCTGATCTGGCCTGTAAGGAGCCACTTTCAGCCAGTTATACAACCGACGACAGCAGGACTACAAGAAATCAGAAGTTCATGATGAGTCTGAGGTCAACAGCTCTTATCAAACAACCATTGTTGACAGCCGGCAGCCCTCCTTACCCTGACAATGCTCTCTTTGGCCTCGGCGATCAGTTTGCTTTTGAGCTCTTTGGCCATCTGAGGGTAGAGGAACTGATTGAGCGCCCTCTCGATGGCTAAAGTTCGCTGTCTGTTCCACTCCTGCACCTGGTGGCTGAACTCGTCTCTGTAGTAGAACTGTTTGATCTCATCAAAGTACGTCTGGTCCCCTGCATATCTGAGGAGAAGCAAGAGAGAGGGCGCGGGGAGCGGCGGAGACATGAAAAAGATTGGCCTTAATTGTAGCAGAGCCAGAATTCAGCAGCCCCGCGCTCTAACGACAAGGATGTGGGTAAAAAAGATTATTTGCTGCCAAAACTCTCAGGGGAGCTATCCTACTTATCAACCCCCCGTTTCTTCCAACATCCAAGCAGAATTCTAAGCAGATTCTAAAAATGGCACGAGTAAGTCACATCGGATCCTGTTTTGGGGAAAAATCCTATCACCGCGGGATGTGCAGAACACAAAATCTGACTAGACTAGATGTGATTGTTTACTTTGGATTTGTTTCATCTGTTTGATTAAAGCTGACTTAAGGTGACACCGCAAATAATTATGCATTCATACATAGAGGATGGGGAGGTTAATGATTTGTACATCTGTTGCACAAAAACCCTTGAGCAGAATTCTCTCAAGTTAAACTTTTTGATGGTTGGTATTTCCTTTGAACTTACCCTTTGACCCCTATAAGGTCAATACAGATGTCAATGGTAAGCAGCCCCTCATCCTCTGCCAGGCACATCTTTAAGAACTGATCCCCATTCAGTTCTTTCACAGGCTTGTTCTTCAGATACTTGAAGGAGTAGGCAAAATGAGCCTCGTCTATCTCCTGCAGGAAGGACACAAACAAAGAGACGTGTTTGGAACAGCGCTTGAAGGATGCCCTGCGATTTCCTTTCAGGAGAAATTTGGTCGTGTGTTGTCACCTTCTTGCCCTTCTTCGTCGGCTTGATGTTGATTTTGGCCCTCTCCTGAAACGTCTGTCGGAGGACGTGTCTGACCAGAGGCTCACGAGCGATCTGCATGGCCACCATGTACCTGGTTCCTTCCAGCACTGCCTCAGGGGTGGAGAACTGACTGCACACGTAGTCTTTGGCCAGTTCTACGGGCTCAGCTGGAAACTGCTCCGTCTCGTGACGCTGGTAGCTGTCTCTCAGATTTTCTCCAAACTGCTCAGGAGTTAATCCAAACTTTTTAGCCAGGCCATCTGCAGGAAAAGTTGGGAAAAAGTTGTTGGAAAAGGACCAATGGAAAGGAATCTTGATTGCTTATATTGTAGTCTAAAGGTTGAACTGAGACTGACCAAGTCCTACACTCTGACATATGCTGTACATGTCTCTACGAGATGCCAGCTTTAGGTCAGGTCCTTTCTGCTCTTCTTCTTCTTCCATCTCCAACTCCTCTTCTTCTCCTAAAAAAAAGCACACATTGAATTTAAGATCTTCAAAACACTCCAAACAACTCAAAGTGTATTTTAGGATAACTCTGCAGTGTCTTCTTTACAAAAATGTAAATATATCCATCCTACCATCCTCAGACACTTCCTTGATCTTCTTCAGCCTCTTTTTGTTGGACTTGGCAGCGTTCTGCATCTTCGGGATGTCCCGGCCATAGTAGAGTAAGAAGTGGTTGTACACATCACCCAGCTCTTCGAGAGTTTGCACATCCTTCAGCCTACAGGAGAACGGCAAAATGGGCTTGAATCAAACAGAAGGTGAGACCAAAGTGATATGCAGCTAACCCGATCTGTCAGGACGTACCTCTCCATGTCAGCTGTGTCTAGAGGACGGATGCCATCGGCCAAAGGCTTGTCAGGGTCCGCAGAGATTTGCTCAAACTGGAAGGACTGCATCTTTTGAAATAGACGGGTCAGGTTCTGCTTCCTTGTCTTCAGTTGCGTCCACTGGTGGGTGGAGGATGAAAATGTTGAAGTTGAAATACAGGACTGGTTAATGCACCCTTTATACGCACACAATTGATTAACTATTAATTGTAGTTTATTCCCTCACACACACCCCAAAAAACTACACTGATAATCCATACCTTCTCATCCCACTGCCACACCTTCCACAGGTCATTGATGTTCAGCTCTGGCTCCACATACTCTTTCCTGTAGAAAGCTATGAAAGGAACCTGAAAAAGACATCTATTCTTAACAACAATGACAATAACACACTCTGCTTCCCTTAATGACACTGTGTCGATAAATAGAAAATAGAAAACAAGGAAACAGATTAAAGAGTATATGTGAATAAGACAGGTGTAATGTACCTCAAACTGTTGATTCCTCATGAAGTTGAGAGCCTCTTTGATCTTTGCAATTGTGCTGGGGCCTTTCCTGCTAAAGTTGGTGGTTGTTCCCCTGTCCAGATAATCCGTGCTCTCCTGTTAAAGGTACAAAAAAAAAGAAATATCAAGTAAGATATTACAAATGTCACTCAGTCCTTCCTTAAAAAAAAGGAGGCACTGAACCAGATCTCATTAAAAATCCTTTTAAGTTAAAGTTCTTAAATTTTCAGAGGTGCTTGAAGCAAAAGTTGTACCTGCATGGAGATGGTAAGAGTGGAGAAGCCATGTCTAAAGATCCACTCTGCTTCCTCTTCCAGCTCATCATCCTCAGCAGGTTTGACAGGGATTGATCTCAACTGTAAGTTTAAGCACAGAGTCAGAGACAAGAACTCAAAAGGGCATCACTAAGCACTCAAAGCAAGTTAGTTATATAAGACAGTGAAAAAGTAACCATTAAGAATCGCTCTGAACAAAAAAAAAAAGACTTTGGGTAACATCAAACCAAAACCCACCTGGAACCTCTCAGGCATGTCAGTAGTCCGGATCTCGTTGTCTTGGTCAGTCATGTGACTGCTCTCCAGCTCGCTTGGCTCATAGATCTCGAAGATGCTCTTCCTCCCTTGCCTCCTCTTGGTCTGCTTCTTCGGTCGGTCCCAACCCTCTTCATCCTGGTCCTCTTCTTCCTCCTCACCCTGGTCATATGCGTCCGCGTCAAAGTCAGCAAAGTCAAAGTCACCACCAAAAATTTCTTGGGCTTCCTGGAGGGCTCTGTTGCAGAACAGAAGAACACAGTGATTATTACTGTCTTTTCCTTTACAACATGGGGAGGAGTTTACTTAACAGTATAATGTAGGGAGACATTGGAGGTAAAATGATCTTCTACATTTGTTGTTTATTTTACACACTTACGCGTCTGTGTATCCTGAGAACTTCTTGCCCCTTTTTTTGGTGATGGGTTGGCCATCATCATCCACAATGAAGTCATCAATATCTGAAGGAGAAACCCAAAGATTAACAAGTAATCTCTGAGACCACATCAAGTTTTTCTCTGTTTTGACATTTTTACTTTTTGGTTACATCAAGAGAGAATTAAAAACTCTTCCTCCTGGCCTACCTGACTCCTCATCTTCTCCTTCTTCCTCGTCGTCGGCATGATGGAGCGGCTCATCAACCGCCTCGCCTTCCTCAAGCTCACCATCACCATCTCCATGAAAGATCTCATCAGCGATTAAGTCCTTCTCGTCATCATCCTCTTCATCGTCATCCAGTGTTTTCACACGATCGTATTTCTTCTTCTGCGACACAAAATATAAACATCAGCACTGCTTAAATCTGTGTTGAGTGTACGAAAGAGAGATCAAAATTCTGGATGACAGGATGAACTCAAGAGGTCGAGGGTGAGATTGTATGCTGGTGTTTTGGAGAGAGAAAAATCCATTCTTACCCTCCTTTTAACTTTTACACCCAAATTTTCTTCAATCAGGTCAAGATCATCGTCATCCAGGTAGTCATCATAATCTGCAAAGAAGAAAATCTCAGTGAAGGGAAACAACTTCATGTTGATTTTTTTTTCCATCAATATAAGCATTTTTTAGTTCCCAGCATGGACGCACATGATCATTTCAGGTAAACAGATGCTGGAGTTAATGAGTAAAAGGGAAACATTTAATTCAATGAGTTTGTAAAAAATTTCTTGAAACTACATGACTCAGAATTTCCCTTTTCTATCATGAATACTGACAGATTTTCCACAAAACCTGAACAAGCTTATGCCATGAATATGTGTGCATCTAGCCCACCACATGGAGCCATCCAACAATGGAAAACAAAAGATTAGTTGTTCTTTACCTGACTAACTATTGCCAAAGATACTGGTGTGCAAAGACACTGGTACGTAATCATGTTTTTTTTCTAATTTCTACTCGACTGTCGAGCAAAGTTCTGTTAAAAAAAAAAGAAGAAAAAAGAAACTGAACGCTGAAGAATGGCCCTAAACCTTCAAAAGCACTTCAACAATCATTACATGTTTACTTAGATATACTGCACAAACACTGAAATCTGTTTTTGCAAAGACTAGAGTGAACCAAATCAAAGAATGTTACAATAAGTCTTTATTTATTTATGTGTTATCAATTAGTGCTGTTGTTTTAATCTTAGCTTTAATAAAACACTTGAGAAAATGTTTTTTCAACCAGGATCATATGACTAAAAAAGCAGACTGTTCAATCTACCCAGTGCAGCTTTCCAAACTGTGACATCTTGATCACAGCCTGCACTGCATGAGAACAGCAGCAGCCCTTTAAAAACACCTGATGAACTTACTGCGCTTTTTACGTCGGTGCCTCACTTCCTCTTCTGAGTCACTCCCCCCTCCACTTGCACTTCTTTGAGCCTCTTCTTCCTCCTCTGCTTCCTCATCTCCATCATCGATGAGTCCACGTAAGTTTCCTCTTTCATCCTGGTCTTCTGTGTTCTCTTCTTCCTCCTCATCTGTTGGGAAACATAGTTAAGTTGTTCATCTCCAATGTAGCTCCATTTTGGAGATAAACTGCCAGAAGCACACGATTTAAAATCTCACCATCCTCTTCCATAAACCTCTGGGTCTTTTTGGGCTTCAAATCTTTCTCCTCAAACTCCTCCTCTGACTCCTCAGCCTCACTGACGATGAAGTCAGACATGGCTGCTAATCCTGAAGGAAAATGCGAGATGTTGTTGTAAATGTACTCGGACTTATAAAAAGACAATCATACACACTTCCTTGTATTTTTTTAATCTCAGATTTTCTGCTGTTATTGCAATTTAGGTGTTTGATATCAAATCTGTTACTCTCTCCCTTAATAGACTTACAGGTCACATGTTAATATTCCAGCATATAAAATTTTGAACACAAGTACCACAAGACTTCAGGAGTTTAGTGTAGGGCTGGGCGATACAACGATAATGATAAATATCGAAAATTAATTTCCCTCAATATCAATATAAAACATGGTCAATATGCTTTTTGATCGTTGGCATTCTGCCATGTTTTGGTAGACAATACGAATAGCCAATGAAAAGGGGAGTTGCTTCATGCTGCGTAGTAGCAGGCTGCAGCTACACGCAGCCATAGCACTTTAACACGTGAAGCCGACAGCACTGTCAGTGAGAAAAAAAGAAAATCAGTGCCACCCCCGGCAGAAATGCAGATGGAGGCTAAACAGATGACGACATAGTTGATAACACTGGCATGAAAATGTTTTGGAGGTATTTTGTTTTTTTGAGGTCAGACATGAAGCAGAGTAATGTGAACTGGAAATTATGTTGAATAAATGTTCCCGCAAAGTCTGGGAATACCGCAAAACTTTTTCACCACCTGAAGGAGTGCCCGCGGCAGAGCATGCACAATGCAAAAAGTTACAGACACCTCGCGGAGCAAGGAGCCCATGGCGCCATTCAGCCGACCATTCAGTCCGCTTTCTCTAGTGCAACAAAATGTCGAAGAGACACAAAGACCTCACAGATGTAGTTGCTTATTGTGTTGCAACAGACATGCTACCAATAAGCACTGATAAATTTCATTTCTTTATACAGATATATATATCAATATCGACTGATATGAAAACAATATCTCGTGATAAACTTTTCTCCATATCGCCCAGCCCTAGTTTAGGGTATCTTATCACTGCAATAGTCCGTGAACTAACATTATATCCTGGTGAATCTAGTATCTCTGTCAATGTAAGTCATCATCAATAGGTCAAATCAAGAGTTTACAATTTAGTTGTGTTACGTTTGCTCTGTATTGTCCTGCAGCAGAGGCTTTATAACCCTTACGTAATGTGTAACGCACACTAGTGTAGTGCTATTTGGAGGCAAGCAGCCATAACAAAGCTCGACAGGGTAGTGAGCTTGGAAAAAATCTACATCTGAGGGTGTCGCAATGCGCATATACAACATCGCAGGACACGGTCCAACTACTCAGTCATCTGCTTTCAGATTAATTTAGCTGGGGATATCATGTGTTTATCTTTACATTTGCTGATACAGATCGTATGAAACATGTTGCTGACACATTTGCTGGCGGTTCTAGTCTATAATGTTGCCTTCTGGCTCCGTGAGCTAGCCGAGCGATGCTGTTGAGCGCGGACTAGACAGAAAATCACACTGACGGTGATACCTCAGGTTTTTCTTGAATTTGAAAACACTTAAATTAATATTAAAGTTGCACCTGGACGAAATTAGCGGGTTTTACAGCTCGAGGCCTCCAAACCGACCCCGCAGCCGAGTGGTTCATGCTTTAGCACATTAGTATGTTAGCCTAGCATTAGCCAAACGGTAACAACAGCTCTCAGTGTTTTAACGAACGGCGCTAAGCAGAAGAACACAAAGTACACCGTTAATGTCGAAATCGAAGTTAGACTTACACGTCTCACTCCAGCGGTTTATTCCACGTATCTGTACAGTAACAGAGTGTGATGTGATTGTTGATTAAAGGAGCTTGTACTTGGAAAAATGGCCGAGAGTGAGTGGCGTGAGCACAATTCCGGGATGCGATGAGGACTCCTCCGTCCCACTCACTACTCGAGTGTCGCCCCCTGCTGGTAAGCAGGCATCAAACTTATTAAATACCATTCCATCATATGACTCCTAGTGTTTCTTATTCGGGATGAATTCGTGTTATTATAGATGTCAAAAGAACACACAGCTCAGGCGAATAACTCCGATTTCAATTGAAAACCATAGAGATGAGTGCAGTTTCACTCCGAGTTGCTAGGGGCGCTGTTCAGTAAGGCCCCCGCACTGGTTTAGGTCACCACTTTCATGACGTAGCAGAAATATTACAAATCTTTACGAGGCATCGGCGGCTGTGTTTTAGGATTATTCAGGAATGGGTCATTTAAATTGTCACAGTCCTCCTTTCTTTCTACCGACCATTCTCTTATTGTTATCCTGTATAGTCGGGCTCTCACTGGGTACGGAGTTAAGCATTGTAACATGTGGATCAGTCATTAAACTGTTAAATTTAAAGCACAATGTAAGACTACATTCGCACGACGTACGCTACGGTTCAGGTAAGTTTCTTCTTATTACATAGGTATTAATCAACATTTACATCATATTTTTCCTTTATTACACTTACACTTAATGTGCCAGAACCTCTTTCTGTTACTATAACAGTGTTGTGGGATGAAGACCCTTTTGATCTGTATGCACAAAGGTTTCAACCATAGACTGTATATTCAGTCTGCACAACATCATTGATACTTTGATGTGATATTTAAACATTAAAGATACATTCAAGTCATCATAAATAACACCAGTCCTTTAAATGCATTTAATTCCATAGAAAGAGTTTGGACAGTGTGTATAACATTGATGATTTACAAATCATGAAGCCTTTATGTAACTGAAACAGTGTAGAGATAGCATGTCAGTTGTTGAAACTGATTTTTGTTTATACTCACTTTGAATGTGATGCCATCACAGTTATACCAGGTTCAATACAGTGCCTGTTCCCCTCTACACAGATATATTTTTATACTCTGAGCTTTTGACAGGATTGTTTAATGTTTGTTCTGTCTGTCACAACTTTTCTGCAACATATAAACCTTTTTTTTCTGCTTCAACATTAGATTATTTGTAATTTCAGAGAAATATAGGCTTTGAATGCGTCACGAAACCATCAAACTCTATTTAAATAAACATTTTACACAACAACCCAACTCTTATTCAAATCTTTAACTGTTTTCATAAAGTTAAAACCATATGAAGAAATTTTAACATCATTGTAGTAATAATAATAAGGATAATGCATCAGATTTCATTTAGTGCTTTATCAGAGACCCTCAAAGCGCTTTACATTGGATACATCATTCATTCATTCATTCATTCAGTCACACCCTGGTGGTGGTAAACTACCTCAGTAGTTACAGCTGGCGGAAACGTGGCCTCTCCGACCACCACCACACAACACTCACAATCATACACCAGTAGAGAACACACACTGGGAGCAAGGTGGGTTAAGTGTCTTGCCCAAGGACACAACGAACAGACTCGAGATAGAGGGGAATCGAACCACCAACCTTCCAGTCATTGTTCAGCCACTCTACCTCCTCCCCTACATCACACCAATTCAGACTTGGATTAGCAGACACTTGTCGTCTGTATTGACCTGTGTGTGTTTCGTGTGTGTGTGGAACAGGTAGCGGACAGCAGTCTGTAACTGGGGTGACTGCAGTGGAAGACAGTAACAGCTACTGGAGTGTTCGGGGAACAAGTGACACCTGGTGCCATCGAGGAACCCCGGTCCAGTGCGGGCAGACAATCCGTCTCACTCATGTCAACACAGGCCGTAACTTACACAGTCACTACTTTGCCTCACCACTGTCTTCTAACCAGGTGAGTGGTGTGAGGGTTACACATTAAAAAAAGAGCTCTGTCCATTTTTGTGACAGATTATTCACATACAGGGGCAATATGATGTGACATTTTATTTTAGAAAACCCAACTCATTTAGGACTAGTAATATCTGAGTAATTATTGCAAAGTATTTGTCTCTCTGATTTCAGTCCCCCTGGGATCTTCCATGTCCTCAACTTGACAGAAATAAGTTATTCCAGTTTGTATTCTCTTCTTCGTTTTCTCTGTGCATTTTCCTCCTTCCCCATAGCTAATTCAAAGGGCTGCACATTGCTGAAGCATTGTAGGTACAAATTCTCAAGGCTCATATTGCTGCACAATATGGGAAAAGATTGGTAGATTGAGCAGTAAACTTTCTACAAGAGGAGTAAAATGTGAAATAAATCAGGTGGCCTATATGCCTGACAGTTTGGACTACTTTTGTCCTTAAACTGGCTTAAGAGTCATTATTAATAGATATACCAGAAAATGAATGTTGAACAAAGGCTTGACATCAATCCAGGGATCCTTTGTGATTGAGTTTTGTTAATAAAAGCAAAATGTAAACAATTTTACTGACTAAGTACTTCTTCCCTGCACCATCATTAATAACAGTCGTAGATGTAAAGGCGAAACAAAAACAAGACCTTTCACATTTACTAAAACTGTGAGCCCTTCAAGCTTGACCTGAGTTGACAGTGGCTTTTACACTTCAGGAAACTAATAAAGTATCTTGGATAACAGCCTTAGACCAAGACAACCCTCTACACTCACAGGAAGGTGTAAAAACTCTGTCACCTCAAAGTGTTAGCAAGTTGTAGGATGTGAGCTGTGAGATGACACTAATAAATCAGTTGTCATACTGGTATACGATTAATCCCAAGGACACTGCTTCTTCAACACACCCAGGTGTAATAGATGATGGTACACGGTGTTTTGAACTCATGGAGAGTATAATAGTTGTAGTTGTGGTTCTTCACCCAGTATGTCTAGTGAATTCAGTCTAAAACCCTGTCTCGTTATGGTAGAAGGTAGAAGGTAGATGACTTGAAAACCTACACTTACTGTATGCCCATCCAAAAATTAGAGGTGGGGTATGTAATTCTTGAAAAAGTGTTACTGATGTTTAGACTCATCAGATAGAGTTAATACAACTTTCAGTGCTCATCAAGAAGCTCAGTTTAAACACTCATGGTCAGGGAATCAACTGTGACGACTAAGAAAGCAGCAGCAGCAGTGTGATGAAACCTGAGGTGTCTGCTGCCTGAGTTGATGAGCTGTAGTTCAGGGTTGAGAAAGTTTTTAGTGTCGACGGTGAGTACAGCGGGAAGAGATGTTCACTGAGATTGGCGAAAAGTGTTTTGGAGTCTCACACCAGATTTTTAATGGACTGGAAAAATATCTCTGAAAGCTATAAAGAAAAAGAAAAGACTTCATCCTTTCTCCTCTCTTTCTTCTCCTGCTCACTTTTTATAGGAGGTGAGTGCATTTGGCGATGAAGGGGAAGGAGACCATCTGGACGAGTGGACAGTTCAGTGTGGGGGACCTGTATGGAAACGTGAGGAGGCAGTGCGTTTCCGCCACAAAGCCACGGATGCTCTCTTGTCAGTGACGGGCGAACAGTACGGACAGCCGATCCGCGGTCAGAGGGAAGTTCACGCCATGTCAAGCCCCAGCCAGCACAGCCTGTGGAAGGTCATGGAGGGAATCTTTATGAAGCCCAGCGAGAGTCCTGCTGGCAGCCGAGACTACACTCACCAGCATACAGAGTTCTGAGCAGGACTGCTCCTCTCTGCTCCTGTCACATCATGCTTTTTTTTCTCTGTACCTTATTTACATCTGCACCAGCAGCCTTGCCTTTCTACCCCCCTTTTTTCTCATTTGTGTCTCTCATTCGAGCTTGACTGTCATCATTTTAGCAGACTCCGCCAAAGTCTGTCATGAATCCGGGTACATTGACTTTGATAAACCAACCTCTAGCTTTCAGCATCTTTTAGGAAACACTACTTGAATTTTCAAAGATCTAGCAGTGTCACTCAGAGAACCAACACTGCTGAAGCCTGCACAGGTAGAAGAGAAATGACGGTTTTTTAAAGAGTTGCTTCACAGTTTACAGGATCATCTTAATCAGATTTGTGACAGGTAGCGTCCTAAAGAGGTGTCCCTCTCCTTCCTCTTTAATTTATTTTCAATAACCGCTATCAGTTGTTACATTACATTGGGCAGATCTTGCAAATCAGTACATCACTGACTGAGCCTTTTTTTTGGATTTAAAGAAAAAATGTTACACTTGTGCCTTTATCCTTTTTAAATAGTGGAGTTTTAGAGACTTTTGGAAACGTCATTTTTAATCTGTTTCAATGACTGTAAGCTTTACTTGACAATGGATAAGCAGTGTTACTTTGGTCTTTTATGTTAAATTTGAGACTTGTTCAGTGTTTCATAAAATGATTTCAAACAAACTGACACAAGAAACGGTGCGGATGTATTAATGTAACATCATCGAACTGGAAGTTCATTTATTGTCAGTGTTTAAATTCGTTTTCAGCTGGTGCTGGGAGAAAGTGTTTGCATTCATGCTGCCTGTGCTCACATTTGTGTCAGATTTCCTCAGTGTTCCTGAAGTTCATATCAGAAAACAAACATGCAATGGATACCTCATTAAATGATTTTTTAATGCATACCAGTGGCAGGTGTTGCTTCTTTATTCAGTGTTCTGGATTGTCACGTGTTGCTTCAGTTCACATGACTCCTGTTAGAGCCGGTCCTGTCTGCATGATCACTTGAAATTAATCCTGGAAGAAAAAAAAGACTTTTTAAATTCTGCATTCACTATCAACGGGGCCCTTTTTCCCTTTCATGATTCATTTATTAGTCGAGAGATGTGAAGTGAACCTCTAAATTATGACCTCTTATTTTCGCCCACAAAGATGAAACTTAAGGATTTGTTCATGTCTGCCCGGACCATTAAACTTGGCAAAACACCTTGTTTGTCCTCTTAATGGCCTCTTAATGTTTTGGTTCATTATCTAACGGTTAATGGGGTTCATGTGCGTCCATTCTGAGGTTGTGTTTTCTTGTATTTGACCTTCGTTCCCTCATTATCATGATTTAAAGTGATGCCAGTGCTGCTCTTCAGGAAACTCCTTTTATGTAAGCCGTCAAATTTTCAATTTGGGTTTTAATTCACCCCGGGCCATTAGGAGATTAAACAAGGTATCAGTGGTGAAAGTTTAACCTTTGTGTGTGGGTAAAGTCCACTGAAAGTAAAAGTGTTTGCAGTGCTACATGACCTGCATATAGTGTGTGACGGTGATGTCAGGGCAGTGATCTTTATTCATGCTTTTCTACCCACATGAAGAAACAGCAGGGCTGCTCAGTGAAAACCACGCTGTGCTTGTCACTCTATTTTTAGGGTTGGTATTTCAAATGACACTGCAACAATTACAACAAGTGACAAGTACAGCAACTAGCTAACTTTAAACGGCAAAAAAAAATCCGCTCAACTGCTTCCTGTGAACTGAAAGTTATATCTAATTTAGGCCTCTTATATAAGGAGGACTTTCTCCATTTCATGCAGGGACATATTGTATCACTATTATTGCAGTGAACATGCTGGACTCAAGCTAAGGCACAAACGTTTTCCACAATAAAACACAGATGCTTTAAGTTTCTATCAAAACAAGAATTTATTGCATAAACATATATGGATATATTTTTTCAGATTAAACAGATTAAACTCATTATTTGCATTTTTAAATATCCATTCAGTTGGTAACTATTGCTGTTTTCTTTCTCCTTTTTCTAAGCAGCATGCCAAGGTTGTAATACATATCTTTGTTTAGTTTTTATCTCTTTACAATCTACTAGGTAAAAACATGTTTTGGTAAAAACAAATCTCCAAAGAAACTTTCAAAAACATGAAAATCATCATCTGATTTCATCCCGTTACAGATTTACAGTAATGATGTAAACTTCAAAAAGTGTGGCTCAAAGGTATGTTTAATGAGTTTCTCCTCGCACAACCATGCAAGGACATCTGAATGGCACAAGTATTGAAGGATTGTTAAAAGAAAGTGGTCTATGCTGGTTTCAAAAGGACCATGAGACAGGTGAAAACATGGTCCGTTGGTCAAATGTCAGTTTGCTGAGAATATCAAAGACGCAGACTAACTTACAGGGATAAGTGTAGCATACATTATACAGCAGTTTATACAGGACTCTGGTGAGAACATTCCAGTAAAAATGTAAAGTGAATAAAACATCATTTTTTCCATCAACAGTGAGGCCTCTACAGACTCTACCCAAGATGACGTGAAACAGAGAAGATGATGACGGTGATGTGTGACCTTGAATTTGCATATTTATGAAAATGCCCTCTCCTGCACTCTGATTTGATTAATAGCTGGTAGAAACTAGAAAAAATGGCTATTACAGTAGAAACTGGAAAGTCAAATATGTTACAGTAGTACATACAATTGAACCAAGGCTGTGCCACCACAAAGAAAGATAAATGGATTTCCCTGTCTGTCAAAGACGTGAAAATCTGAACAACGACATGCATACTGATTTACAGTATATTACATTTTTGCTGTGACACTTGATCTCACAAAGTTAATTTCTTTGAACAAAGCCCTCTCTTTCAAATTTCGTCGATAAACTCACATTTGCACATTAGTTTGATTGAAATATCTGATTCTGCTTTTCTGTATTCTGCAGAAACCATAAAAAACAAACAATTAAATTATGTGCAAGGGGAGCACCATGCAATTTCGGAATCCACGTTGTTTCACAGGGTCGAACGTAGTCAGTGGTTACTAACACTAACAAGTGAATCTAAAGATGCATCTACACAGAGCTGAGCAGAATGGTGGAAAAAAAAGGTCACAATAATGGTTGTTTTTGTTAAACAGTTACATAAAAGGGACACACACTTAAAAAAACCAAAAACATTCTCATAAGTTGTGACAGTTGTGACTGTCACCGAACCCTCCACCTCCCTGAAAACAAACCATTTCCTTAAAATGGGATCTACGGTCCATTAAAGAAGAAGAAGACAGGCTTAAAGAATCCTCTTTTTTACCAGTATCATTTCACTCCATTGTAGTGAAACTGCCACTAAACCTGCAGTAGTAACACAAATAGCTTAGGGGAAAATGTCCCAGTTTTATACAGACAATACTGCTGTTGTGACACTGACATAACACACATCAAAGCTCACAATCGGTGGTGTTATTCACCTCTTACAAACGTTGTTGCTCAGGCGTGTTGCTGCAGTTCTTAATCTATCCACTAGAAGGCAGCCTTTTCTAGGAGAACAGCTGCAATCACAGCTCGACTGTGTATCCCTGATTTATCGCACAAATTTCTACCCCACATACATTCTGCTGTTGACATAATAATACATTACACAAGCTTAGGATTACTTTATATACAGTGAAGTCCTGGGAAATGCAGTAAGAGTTGGTAATGTTTAGTATGGCAGTGTATATACTGGCATGCTTGTCTGTGGTTTCTATTAACCACAGCTGGGCAGTATTACAATGATAGGCTGATACACCAACAAATGAAACATTTTCATACAATGCGTTATCTAAAATATTATAACATAGGCAAATATCAGCATTGTCCTATTTCAACGTAACAGAACCGCACTGTCTCCATCTTTTCAATCTGATTTATGACCTTCATACATTTCCCACAAGACTCTCCTCATCAATCATTCAATCAATCAATCAATACATCATCAAAACAATCAACAATTGTCACAAGACTTAACATCGGTGACAGCGGGACAGTGATAACTTTAAGTGGTCCCTCACTGAGTATTGACTTGTGCTCCTAATAGATTCAAACAAAGATTTCATATGCGGCAAATCCTTAGGAAAGAGACCCGACCTAAGGATGTTGGTAAGTGACACAATGTGAGATGTTAATACATTACAATACGAGATATACATTTAAATATACTGTGCTGACATTCAGTGCTCACATTCACTCAGTTCACATTCAACAGAACTTCTCTGGGGTTAATAAGTAGCTGTCGATTACAGGCCAACTTTTATTTGTTTTTATATTAGAATGGCTCAAAGCACCTGAAAAACATTTTGGGTTATAGTAAAATAAAGTTTAAAGGGTGGTCTTGGTATTGAAAACAACAAATCAAAACTCATTAAATTTCAATTTAGATAAAACCATAATCCTTTCCCGGTTCAGGTTCCAGCGAGTCCAGTAACATGACATGGTGACATCTTCGGAGCAGAACAAATACACCTCTGGATACACAATCCTTTTCTGCTTTGAGAAAACAAGATTAAATTAAATTGGAAATAAAAAAATAAACAAACAAACAAAAAAAAAGAACTTAACCAAGTGTTTAAAGAAGTGCTTGATTTGTGGCTGTTCCTGCTTTGGCTGCAAAGACAAGAAAAATGTGAGGTCATGGCTGTTCTGTCCACTTCCCATGCTCACAGTGCAAGTGGTTACTCCATGCCGTTTCTCAGCATCTGATTGGCTGCGATAAGCATGACACTGATGATGAAAGCCATAGCGAATGCGCAGATCAGGCTTTTCCTCACACACGTCTGACGATTCTTCTTCTTGGGATGAACTGGAAGAGAAAGTGAAAGAGGAGATCATGAATAAGAGATGAGCTATTAGTTCTGTTAATACCTCTCATGTGCCTGTGAGTTAGACAGTTAATTGATTTTGTTAAATAATTAAAACACAACTTAAGAAAAATTTCAAATTTTAGAAAAAATGCTTAATCAACAGACATCCCACTCATGTCTGCGTGTTGAGTCAAGTTAGAGGATTAAGTTAGCCTCCCTATTACCCAGATGTGTTAAATACTTGACTCTAATTGGCTGAACCCCCATAACAACAGGATCAGCTCTTAACGACAGAGTCAACCTGACAAGCCAGATCAAATAAACCCACAGGAAGGATTCTGGTACACTAATATAATCAACGATTGAAAATGTGACAGGAACACACGGGATATTTTAATATCACTCTAGTTTGAAGAGCACAAAACTTTAGATATGACTGTGATAGATAAATCTTTCTTAAAAGGCAGACAGCATACAGCAGAGTTCAGGATATATAATGAAAGTATATTTATTATATTATAAGAGTCTTTATCCCTGCTTCTCGAATCTTCATCTTTTCAAAACATGGTCAACAGACGACAAGTCACATTTGCACTTGGACTCATCCTTTTCTTTGTGCTTCTGCTGTCCTTGCATAGTTTCTGTATCCCTGTGACCTTCTCTCATTCACTTAATCTTCAAAGTGAACTTACACTCCCTGAGTTTTACGACCTTTGTGCACAACTTGAATAGTATTTTTCCATCAGATTGTAAACAGGCGAACAGCAGAAAAAAGGAGGCAGGGGGTAGACAACTGCACAGGGACTAGTTTGGGATGTTATAACAGGCAAGTGAAAAAGATATTAGTATGGGTTTCTGGCAGCTTTTAAGAACTGATTTTGGAAAAACACTCATGATTCGACTTCGGGTGAGTAAAAATGTTAAGTTGAATATCAATGTGACCCTCTCAGCAGCTGATGTAAATAATGTTGCCATAGCAGCGCTATAATTATGGAACCTAGAGTCAACTTGCCGTATCTTACGATGGTACCCTGGGTAATATGCAGTATAATGTATCTTGAGTGGGTTTGGGTATGCAAAATAGAAAAAGTAAGGAGACTGTAGAGATAGTCAGTGATCATGTTGATCAATAGAATCTCTCCAGGGTTATTAAGACTCTTGTCTCACCCTGTTTGGATTCTAGTTTGCACTCACTAACTACATTCTCTCCCTTACATACTTAATGGTAACAGGACAACCCCACTCTCTCTTCCAAATGTAAAATTGACATTAAATCAAGCAAACAAACCCATCAATGAACAAATAAAAGCATAATGAGTGAGTTTAGGGGGAGATCTGAAATACTGATTTTAGTGTTGGATTGTTTGGATAAAGCCCAGGCAGTTGTTTCCTTAGCTGTCGTCTTTATGCTAAGCTAGGCTAATCACATCTCGGCACATCTATTCCAGCAGCTGCCCCATGTTAATTTCATGAGATGCATCTAAAAAAAAAAACCTTTTACATTGAGCAGATACTTGCAAGTCAGTCAATTCACAAAGTGCTTGAGACGAATATCCCAACATGAATTATTGTTGTGCTTTCAGAAAAACACAAATCTGTATATTGTATTGAGAAGACTGGACTTGGTTTCATTTCTTCTGAATCCTAGCTGTCGTGTTTTACAGCTTCACTGTAACCCAGATCATCAGTAAGAGCGTCCCACATGTAAAACACTATAAATATACAAAAGGCAAAAGCTGTTTTGGTTTTCTTTACTCTTTTTTTCAAGATAATACGTTTCAGTAACAACTGAACTAAGAAGTCTTCTGCCCCCCAAAGATATAATCCCTCGAGATTAAAAAAGGAAGAAGAGTAGAGACATACGTGTCCTCCAACGAGCCTTGCAGCAAGAGCTACAACTTAAAGTTTCCTCTCTGTCAGCCCCCCTGTCTCAGTTTGTAAAAATCACACACCGCATCAATAAATCAAGTCAGAGCTGTGAGTCATGGATCTAAGAGAGAGAGATGCTTAAAAGGCTCTGGAGTCCCATTGGAGAGGAAGAAGATTGGGGAAGGCAGGCACGAAAGAAGGAAGTTGAGGATGTGGGAAGAGGGTTAAATGTGTTAAATGTGGAGAGACATACAGCTGTTCTCTGTACAAAAGAGGCTCCCTTTATACCTCTTTTTTTCCTCCCTGGCCCTTTTTCTTTTTCACTGTTGTTATTCAGTTCTCAAACTCCATGTTTCGCCCTTCCCTCAACACAAGAACTTAGTGAAAGAGAGTGCGAGGCCTGCAGTTTCCTGATCCTGGCCTTAGCCTCTTATCTCTCTGTTCACCGTCTCTTTTTGCTTCGTTTCTCCACTTCTTCATGGCTGTCTCCTGGGGTCTCATCGAGACGGTGGACCAATACCCAGCAGATTCATTAAGATCCTCTTAGTTTTCTGTTACATTTGATGCATCGCCACCTTTGTCCCGGTGTGCCTTTCGGATGTGTCACAGCAGAAAGGCAATTCTTTGCTTTGCACCACGAGTAAAAAGGGTCATATTCATTTATTTTTGGGTTGTTTAGTTGTTTGATTTTCTTTGCTCTCCAAAGTGACATAAAATAGTCTAATGCCTCAGAAAAAATCGTCCTCTGTGTCTCAATTAGGATTTTAAACTTAAGAAACCAAACAAGACTGTCCTCTTTATGACACCAATGAATTCATGCATTACCTTGACCTTTAAACATCATTTGAATAATCAGTTTATATTACATCTGTTTTCTTGAACATGCTTTGACATGCTCGACCTTTTCTCAGGATCTCCATAAAATCTCTGTGTAGATATTCATTTCAGGATGACAGCAGATGGAGGATTAAGAAAGTTGTTCAGAAGTGCACGTCAAAAGTGTTGGCTTTTTTTCAGATCCCTCAACACTGCGCCTTGTCTTACACTTTATTTCAACTGAACAAAGACTTCAGCACATTTTTTTCTCCTGTCTCTGTGCTCTCTCTTTCTGTTTTCTCTGTTTCCACTTTTTTCTCTCTCCCACACTCCTCAAAATATTTATTTCTGCTCAGCTTCAGTCTGCCACTGTCACAACGTCTATCTTCAAATATCAGCTGCTTGTTGTATATTTGTTGACACCTTTTGGTTCAGGGAAAAGTGGGTTTTATAGTAGCGTGGACATACTTTCTTGTTGAAATGTGTGGTATTAACTACTGTCTGAGGCTGCATTTATCAGTTCTCTGTCTATCTGTAATCTAGCTTTAAAATGCGGTTTGAAATTCTGTTACTTGCAGATAAAATGAAAGATCACCTCCTACTTTTCCCTTTTCTCCACTTACACTTCCATACACAGGAAATAATGAACTTCATCAGCATAGACTGAAAACAGCATCAAAGTGCAAGCCTGGCTTCATTCAAAGATCAAATACACACCTACAGACCAACCACTGGCTACATTTTGTTCATCATAACCAAAATCTGTGCTTCTTCAGCAATGTGTGGTCTTTTAATAGCCTCTTGTCCCCATAAGGTTGCCTGGCAACAAAGAGAGATTCAGGAAATCAAGACAGCTCGCCACTTGTCATCAACAAGTAGGTTCATTTTTGACTAAATACACGAGAAATGACTTTGTGGTAGGCAAAATGTGAAAGCAGCATGCAGTCAGTGATAACAGTCACCCACAGATAACATTTTTGGTTCATGTTAAGTTCTTGAGGCAGTAAAATAAAAATGAAAGGGATATTCCAGCACAAAATTGATTTGGGGTCAAACACACCATAACACTGAGTTAGACACCCCCTCAAGAGATAAATGTTGCTGACCGCTTGCTTCTTCTTCTTCATGGAATTGCAATCAGACTGAGACGCTAAGGCAGAAGAACTACAGTGTCTGCAGTGCAAAATGATTAAAATGATGATTATTACTTCAAGGAAATTATAAAAAAATGATCATAAATGTTCTTCCTTGAGCTGCGTCACCCGCTTTAGTCTGTAATGGACTGGCCCGAGGTCTTGCTACCAACAAGCGGCTGCTGGAAGAGAGTGGGTGAGTTGTGTTTAGTCTCTTTGCTAAAGAAATTAGGCAAAGTTAAAAAGATTTTTGGTGGCTGGGACCCTATATGTACTGTTGATGAAGTTAGGTGCTGTTCTGAGCATTACTTGTGGCTTTTTTTTTTTGAGGTTTGTTTATGGCTCCTCAGACCGTTGTGTATTACTATCATGCGGTTGTTACCAAAGTTGGTATAACTAGAGAAGCAAGCGGTCGGTAACATTCATCTCTCGTTGGGGTGTCTATGTCAGTGTCAAGGTGTGTTTGACCCAAAATGAATTTTACACCGGAATATCCCTTTAATGAGAGTGAAAACTGCAAAAAAAAAAAAAAAAAAAAAGGACTTTCTGTAAAAAATGTATTTTCTTACTTAAGGACCTTTCTTTCAGGGAGGTTTTTGGCGCCCTGTGGATTATGTTTACTCACAAAAAATCTTGTTTGTTTTATTTGAATAATTATGTGCATCACACATTTTGAATATCTGTTGTAAAAGTTAGTCATCTCTTCTGGCATCTCTGAGAGGTAGCTTTCTAGCTAGTTTGCTACAGCTTAGACATCCTTATTCTCAGTTGTCCGGGCTAATCTAATTGGTTGAAATTCCCATAAAAATAGTGAATTACCATGAAAAGCTTGACATAGATGTGGGTTCAGAAACAGGCTTGTTAGCCCTCTTAACTCTCATCAATTTAAGCTCATCGCCTCTCTGCGCTCTGTGCCATTGTGATGCATTAAAAGCTGCTTTTGACCCGATCATGGCTGAATCTCCTGTGAAAGAAGTCTCAGCGTCAGTCTGACTTTTTAGTTAATTAAAAGTTCTGCCGACCAAGCCCTATGAATTACAGTTTTACAATTACAGGTGTTTATTTCTCATAAGAACAGCCTCCTTACCTCCCTCATACTCAGGGCAGTTCCCTGAGGTTTCATTGAGGCTCTCCTCTTCGGTGATGATGATGTTCTCTATGTCCTTCATTGTCAGGTGGTCCCGGAAGGCGTGGAACAGCACCTGCTTCAGCTCATCCAGAGACAGCTGCTGCATGTCAAACTGCAGGGACACACGGTGATCAATTCAGTCATACACAGAGCGGTTTTATGAGGCAAGATAAATATAGATGATAAGAATGAGGTGCGAAACGTACCAGGTACAAGAAATGACAGCATGTATGAATTTATGTTCTATTGCCTGGACGTGTAATGTGCAGATACAGCATGCAAGTAGGAAAGGTGTTGTTTGTCATGTAATGGCAGCATGTTTGCCTGCGCACCAGTGGTGCTATTTTTGGTTCGCCTAAATCAGTATGCAAACCCCTGTGTGTGCTTTGATACTTTCACAATTACTTCCTTGTAGGTGGTTACATTTTAAGTTGTGTGTGCAGGTTTGTGCTGGAAATGATTTATGAGGCTCAGACTAATCACTGATGTGAATCCTCAAACTTAGCCTCTGTCTGCCTCTCCAAATCATAACATACTTCATGTTTGCAGCAAATTCCCCTTCAGTCTATAGACAAACATGCAAACATCTTCTTCAAAGCCCCCAGATTATTTACTTCATTGACAGCTGCAACTACAATCAGTCGCTCGGTTTAGTACAACAGATGGACAAACTGAGGCAGTGGAGGCAAAGGGGATGAAAATAAGGGGTTCGGTTGAGAGACGACGGGTTAGGGAGAGAGAGATGCTGTGAGATTAGAAAATCAAAAGAAATGATAGTGAAGTCAGAGCATACTGAGAGGAAGGAAGTAGTGGGAGACACAGATGGAGGAAAAAGAACTGGCAGACAATAGTTGTAGAGACATGAAGGAGTTGTGATGGTGAAAAGTTGATGCTCATTTCAATCAGGAGACAGTAATCGCGCTCATCTCTCATTATAATGTGCTCTAAATGCTAATAACAGCTATTTTCGTGTTAAATTGCCTTAAATCTCATTTTAGGAGATTTTGGCTGTTTGTGAAAAAGACGGAAATTCATATTGATGCCTTTTTATAAAACACCAAAGCAAACAAGATGAGCATCAATACTGACAAATTTCATCTCATGAGTTTAGAGCCTGAAACAGGTGCGAGAGGGGAGGAAAAACAGACCTGTTTTCACATTTTCAATTCAGTATAAAATTAAACTAAACATTTGACTTTAAAAAGGCAGAATAATGAGATTTTTGTCATAAGAAACTACGTAAGCAAAGACTGCTTTCTCCACAGGGGGCGCCAAAATTGACACAAACTAAATGTTCTCTAGAGGGGCTTTAAGTTCAAGTTACAGATATTGTTTATCTAAAATATTTTGGAAAGACTGGGTATCAAATGAACCAAAATGTGACCCTTAGTTACTAAATTAATATTAAGCACCTGTTTGATTTAAAGACATTCTTGTTTACTGTTTAACCACTTTAAGATGGGTTTAAACCACCCTTATATGTGTCCTTTAAGTCTAAAACTATAGCAAGTACTTTATTAAATCCACTAAGGAGAACTACTTCCACTCAAACACTGCTGGCTATGCTGGCAGGGTTCTGCGTCCTGCCCAAGGTCACTTGAACATGCGGATAGTCGATGGTGCCGCCAAACTGACGACCCTTGGATTGAAAGGGTAATGCAGCAAACTAGAGCTGTACTAAGATTCATATACACACATAAAAGCTGGGAAACACCAGATCAGACATTTTATGAATCTGACAAATGTGAAATATTGATCTATATATCTTTAGGCAGGTTATTTGTTTTCTGTTTCAGTGTACTGTTGTGCTTCCAACGACTGTATAATTGGGTATTGATTTCAATCAAACCATTTGTTCCTTTTTAAGGTCTTTGTAATGAAGCAAGCGCACATATGAATGCAAACACACAAGGAAAATAATGAAACACCGACACGCTACTTCAACAATTAAAGTAGATATTACAGTTAATGGGGGAAAAAAATCAAACACATTGTGACAAACACTCAATAAAATCAAAGTTTACAGCAAATGAAAACATAAAGTAATTACGTTTGGTTCTTAGTCGAAACCTTTACCTGGTCACAATCAAACCCTACCCCCCCACACACACCCACACACACACACACACACACACACACACACACACACACACACACACACACACACACACACACACACACACACACACACACACACACACACACACACACACATAACAACACTGGAGTTGATGTGAGGCCACAAAGAGCCAAAAATCAATAGTCTTCACAATTTGGCAAACTTTGATCAAACCAAAATGACCTTCCTTTTTTCGTTTGTTAGAGGCTCACTTTTACTCAGAAGTGTGAGTTGTAGCCAGCGGAGTAAAAAAAAAAACAAAGGTAAATGTGAATAGAGGGAATTGTTGTATTTTAAGATTTCTTATATATCTCAAGTTTAGACTTAGTTCTGATGCTGTTTAAGATTCGTTTGCATCCGTTTTATTTGCATTTCCAGGAACAAAAACACAGACTGGTCCTTTAACTGTTCTGACTCATTCAACCTTGGGCACTCCAGGGCCAAGAGACAGGGAGTGGCAGCAGCAGCAGCAGTTGGAGGGCTTGATTTCTGCCTTTTAGCCAAAGCTGTCTCTGCTTTGAATGGATTCTGGGAATAGGAGGAAAAAACTTGTTGGACTCCAGCCTCAGGACAGACAACATGACAGCTCAGAGCAGCGGCACAGAGAATGTACAATGTTCCTGTCTGTCTGTCTGAGGGGGGAAAAGCCACAAAAGAGCCGTAACCTGTTAGAAACCAACAGAGTGATGAGATTTCTCCTCCTGGCCGGTCTCTGAAGGACACAGACATCCACACACAGACGCACACAGTGATGCAAAGACTCGGGAGTTTTTGCCTGTCAGAGCATTTTGTCTTTCACTGAATGAACTCAAATATGTGGTGTGTTTGTGTGTGTGTGCGTGCCTGTGAGTGTGAGCGTGCACACGGCAGGAAAACAGCAGGTGATCGTGAGCAGTGACCGGTGAGATACTGATGGAGCCAGGACACATCAATCAGAGGAACAGGTGCTCACACACCATCCCTCCCGTCTAGACCGACCTGCCCTCATACCGCAAAAGCTTGTTTCATCAGTCATTCACCTGCTTTGTCTTCTGACCCTTCTCGAAAAAGTCACCCGGAGTGACAAACAAAAAGCAATGTTTCTTTTATTCTGTGCCATTTCTCCCTTTTTTTTTCTACTCACACGGCAGCTGCAAGTCAAACAGATGTATACAAAGAGAGAGGTGTGCAAAAACACTTCATTTAAACGAGTTAATGCCCACAATGAGGCTGCATGATGGGAGGATACTGCAGGTAAACAAAAAGGAAAGATGATATTTCAAACAAAGGAAGCAGGGGCTGAAATCAACCAGAAATGAATAATAGATACACTACACCCTCGGAGACAGAATCAGTCACAGTTGTAGGGCGTGTAACAAAAAAGCATTTCTTAAAATATGAAGAGATTTCATCAATCTGAAACAAAATGTGCCACAGGCTCTGTCCCAGTCACTTCTTAGAAGACACCCCGTGTTAAAATAACTGTTCTTACACATACTGCTCTTTGTAAAGAAAACATCCACCAAATGGTAGTTCTTATGTAACACAGACGCCATGTTGTCTTTTTTTTTTTTTTTTTAAATGACTCTATATTTGGCATCACTGATCGTCCTATGAGCACTGCAGACTGTCTCAACAAATCCAGTCAGACAGCAGTGTTAAACCTGTCGCTGACTGACTATTTTCTTCTCGTTCTCAGACTTTTTTTGAGGGGGCTTTCTTTAATCCACAAAATATACAAACAGCTGAAGCTTAAAAATAACAAGTTTATGATTTAGACTCTGATGAAAGGTGTCACTTACAACTCAAATGAGTACAGACACATGTTTAAAGAGTGCCATTTATATTTCATACCACAGAATTGACTCTTTCTGTTTATGTTTTACAATAAACAGTGGGGTAGAACTTGTGCTCAGCTAAATATCATAACACCCTGGTCTCTGAATAAGGGTTTATCAATCAACCATGAGTTCTCTGGAAATTATATTGCTAACACAGGAAATAGCAGAGAAAATAAGCCTACTTTTATTTAACACGGTGATAACAGCACACTTCAATGTCTGCCAGTACTACTAAACACCAACAACTGTGTTACATCACTTTACTATAGCAATATCACTCCATTAATCTTAACTGTAGGGTTACATTATGGGCCAAGTGCAACATGTTAAATATTCCTCATTCAGAACTAAAGTCTAAAGTCATTTTCTACAAAAGTTAAGTCTTAGTTTCCTTTGGGAATAAAGTTGTAGTAAGATTGTTTTATGAGAATAAAGCCGTATGTAAATGAAGCCATAATGTTATGAGATTTAAGGTTTATTTTATTAGAATAAAGTCCCGAAAAAGGTGTAGTTTTGGTTTACTGTAAGCAGCCAGCTCCCTATGCCAAATTGTGGAACATTGAGCATCCCCTTAAAGCATCTCTGATGTTTTGCCGCTATGGCACTGAAGTGTCTGAAAAGATTGTGCCAAAATCTGAGATGCATGGCGTCCCCCATCAAAATTAGCACGATTTCTGAAAGAGGCACTAACTGAGATAATTCTGTAAAGTAATGTAACCTCAGGTGAATAACTGTTCTCTTACCTATCCAGCAGAAAACTTACAACTTTGGCATCAGTCTTTAAACATAAATTTGTCATTAGGATTTTCCATCAAGAAAAGGTAACACCCTTTTTGACCCTTATTCTCTCCCTGTCCTGATCTCATTTTACTTGTTCTTTTGTTTTGAGACGAAATCTCAGATTTATTCAAATCCACTCTCCTGTGATGCATGATAGTCTGATCCACCATTTGTCAAGTTTTTACTTTAAAAAACTTTTATCACAACAAACAACAACAACTGATCTCACTCTGTCCACTCTGTTCACCTACTGGCAGGTCTCACGTAGCCACCTAATAATTAACAATGAATTTTTGCAAGTTTGTCCATTCTGCTATGCTGTAGAAAACATGGTGGTACAAAAACAGCCTCCAGAATAAGGACCTGCTGCTTTTATAACATAAAGGACTTTTTCAAGTCATCAGAAGTGCAACAATCAAGATATTACATTCAATATAACAAACTTCTGCATGATAAAGTCCATTTCTTTAGAAAAAAAAATGACACAATGTACCTTTAAATGTTGTAAAAATGTGTGTGTGTGTGTGTGTGTGTGTGTGCAGAGCTGCAATCTGTTCTTTGAAGCAGGTTGTTGTTTGCCTCGAGTCACAGTCATAGAAATAGAAAAGTTTAAAGAGAACAAACACTGAGAAAGTTCATTTTTAAGTGCAATTGCTTAAACTATTTAAAGGGACAGTTCACTTTTATGACTGGAGTTGTCTGAGCTTCTTGTCAATCGTAAATGGATAAGTATACATTTGTGTTGCATTTGAAAATGGAATAAAAACAAAGTGGCTTCTTTGACGGCAAAGTTTATTATAGTTTATTATTTATTCATACTAACATAAAAGTTTGAGTAAGAGTTTCTTTGAGGCGCTGTGAAGCGCTTCTGACAGATTTGAAATAGTCTCATTCTTATGCTGATATCTCTTTATGACCTACATAATAAAACCTGTTTATCAATGACACCATTGATTATTTCTTTATAGTGGATTTTAAGACCTGTGTTCAGGTCCAGAGCTGGATTAATATTCAGCAGTTGCCTTGAAATGTCTGTGTCCTAAACTCTGCCGGTAAAGTTTGACAGGAAGAAATAACTGAGGAAGCGGGAGGATGTTTTATCTTGAAGTACTTTTCTCTTTACATAATGTTTTGTACTCATGACTGCCACTACTGCAGGATTAGCAAAAAGACTTTTCTGTTTGGGGAAGAATTGCTTTAGATGGAGAAACCAGGGATTTAAAAGATATAAAAACAAAATGACTTTGAACAGGATTTAATGTTCATGCCCGTATGTGAATGCTTCACTTCTCCTTCTGGACCTCAGGGTTGATTTTTCTGCATATTTACGTTATTTGGATATTTAGTGGACCATCAGAGGTCACATCATGACACCAGGACTATGACAAGTAATGGTAAACCTTCACAATAAGTCACCTTTTGTTAGCTAGGTAACAGATATAAATCAGAGTTTACGGAATAGTTGTTACAAATCACTACATAATCTCACCACTCCGAATTCTGCCTTGGGCATGCCATACTCATCTACAGGGAACACCCGACACAAAAACTCCTCACAGCGCCTTTAAGTAACACTTTAAAGTAGTTATACTGACAAAGATTTTCAGGTGGGGTCAGAGGAGGTCTGAAGTTTAATTTGTTGCACATTTAGGTGCAGTGTAAGAACTTATACCTTTAAAAGCCATCTGGAACCTAAACACCTAAATCCCAGCCTGTATTTTCGGTACAAGTTCAGTTCCCCTATAAAAAGCATATAATTGTGTTGAATGTAATGGTTATAGTTGTGCAAGTTGTGCATCTACAGCTTTAGCGTCTATAAAAATTAAACTCTAAAACTGCTCCTGATGTGTGCAGCCCCTCGAGACAAAGAACATCTGCAAAAACATCTGCCTAATGAAGACAGATGACACTGACACGGGTTTTCAGCTTATGTAAAAAGGCTCAAAAATTCTGTAGACGTTTCTGCTGCACTCGCTCAGTGCAAACATATTTTTATAGACTGTAAACATTGTTATAATATTGGTTAAAAGATCGGCTTGTTTTGTATCTCGAGGCGATGAAGCTTAATTTGCTATGGAAGACTGGGTGCTTCCTTTTTTCAAAACTAATTTACCGACTGTCAGCAGAAAAGTGGTAACTTGAGTCAGGGGTTTTAAATCTCCCAGAGGTTTTACTCAGGCCACGCTAGGATGTAAAATAAACAGAAGAAACGGAGCGTATTTTTCAGACATTTCAGCGGTGCACTGAATCAAACAAGACGGGTATAAACACGAGAACAGGCCAAAATTATTCAACACAAACACAAACACAAACACACACACAGGAGAATGTAATTACACGCAAAAAAGTTGCCAACTGGAGCCTCCCCCGATGAAGTCAATCATTCTACATCTCACTATGCAAGGATATTATCTGAACATACTGAACTGAGTCATTATGACCCACCATGATGTGCCTCTCTCTCTCTCTTCCATCTTCCGCTACTCAACACAATGACTCTCCCTCTCTGCCCGTCTCCCTCTGAGGTCTGTGAAATATAAACAGACACACACACGCTCACTCGCACAAAGACACACACTCGTACACACAACGCTGCTCTCAAAGTCCTCAGAGACACACTTCCTCCCACCATCTCAGCCCCCCCCCCTCTCTCTCGCTCTTCCTATATTCTTTGCTCTCATTGCTCCTCTCCTGCTTCTTTCCTCTCCCGTCTCGCGTTTTTCCACCCCGTCTTCCTGTTTTCTGTTTACTTCTTTGTGGGAGGCGAACGTTTAAATCACCCCTGAGACGTACACTGTCTGCGACCTTCATGAATCACAGTATCCTGTATCCCTCTTCTTTCATTTTCCCCATCTCTCTTCCTTTGTGGTTTTCCTTTATATTCCTGTATCTCTGTGTGGGGCACCCCCCCACCCCTGCACCCTCTCCTTTCCCATTTATTGTCCAGCCCCTCTTTGTATTCTCTCATCTCTTTTAGCCTTGCTGGCTGGCGAGCTGTAGTCTGTCTTGCTCCATCCTTACTCCATAGATGCAACGCCACTCATTTAAAAGAGATGTTGGAATATCTAAGAAAGTACTGACCTTGATATAAAAATCTGCAGTTTTTGCATGAATTCTGCTGGTGTTCTTATGTGCTACAGCATAAATTGCAGTTTTCAAGATATTGTCTGAAGTGCTTGCACAATGCAATCTAGGATAAAGACGGTCTTTGTTAATGTGTGTAACCTGGAACGCACACACCTCCTCATTTCTGTGAGTCACCCTCTAAATGATTTCCCTCTTATTTGAGTTAAAGAAAGCAGGAAACAGCGAGCTCAACCAGCCATTCTCATGCTAACCCTCTCCCCACTTCCCAAAACACACACACACACACACACCTCAAAATGCTGCAGTTTTCATGATTGTTGGATGCCATACCTAAGTAGCAAAAGAAAAGAATCGATCAAAGCGCACTAAGAGCAGTACATTTTCTCTATGCAACAATCTTCAAAAATAAAGAAAGCACATTCAAAAGCTTCAGCCTTAATCACCACTGGGCCGAGTCTGGATGCTTGAAAGCACACAGGCTAAGACTCTCTAAATACAGGAGAGCAATACCCTCTGCAACAATGAAAATCATAAAAACATACCCATACCCGACCCAAAAACACATACTCGCATAAAGAAACGGTTAATTCTCTGCAGGTCTCTATTCCTTCAAGGCCTTAAGCCTACAGTAAAAAAAAATAACTATTATTGTCAGAGAACAGAAGAGGCAGGTTTGGGGAGGGCTGGCTGGGAATGTGTTTTTAAGTAGGTGTGTGCTTGTGTGGAGTCCCTGCAGAAACTAGGGCTGTGCTTGAGGATGTAAGACTGACTTCTGGCTGCTGAAATACACAATCAGAGATGAGAGAGAGAGAGAGAGTGAGTGAGTAAGAGGGGGGCGTGGAAGATGCAACTGATAAATGAAAAGGGGTGTGAGTGATGAGAAAACACATTGCGGTTTTGTCTCTCACCTGCCAAAAGATGTTGTCGATGGTGTTACCCAGGAATCCTTCTCTGTTGTCAGATGAGAGCAGCTTGGGGCCCAGTATTGTCATGAACTCCTCAAAGTCCACCTGGCCGTCCCCTAGAGGCACACACACACACACACACACACACACACACACACACGCGCACACACACACACACACATGCAAAGGAGAAAAATCAGACTGGAGGAGTGGCAGACCGGAGTTAAATAATTCATTTTATTCTGAAGTTTATTTGCTTACAAAAATAAAAGCAGAGCAATGAGACAGATTAACAGATGGGTGTGCCGTCATCCGAGACAAACTTCTGCTCACCTCCAGCAGTAATTCACCTTCAAAACTAAAGCCTGCGTGTGTGCAAGCAATGAGATCTTTTTATGCACTGAATTCGGGGATCGTTCGGCACATTAAAATTCAAAGGATGCAAACTGTAAGTGTTTGCATTATGTATTCTACAACTGCATGTTGTTACAGATAAAAATCAACAGGCAGTGTGGCGTGGAGTTCATTTGCAGCGTAAATCTATGAGGCAGGGTGTCTTAAAGACTGAGTTATTGCATTGGGTTATTATGGGGTATATTGCCAATATTGATATTACCCCAGTTAGAGGATTATCTAATATAGTTTTTATTGTTTGTTCTAATGAGCAGCATAAAGACGCATTAGCAGTCATCTGCACCTGTCTCACTGCAGCTGCTTCACCATGGGTGGAAGGACAACACTTTATTTCATGGGTCTATAATTTTCTTAATTTTTTTCCAAGAAGTTCCCATGAAAGAAAGATATAATTGAGTACTAATTACTAAGAAGAAAGAGACAGTATTAAGTTGGTATTCTTGCCATATGAATCCTAATTAACTGCTGTATAGTCTGGAGTGTCTTCGTCAGTACACAGCACGCCAGCTGGGTCGACTAGTGTTGCATTTGTCAACATGTGTGAGTGAATTTAAACAATTAAGTAGAAAAAGGCTTTCAATAATATTTAATTTGATTTAAACTGGATGTTATTTTGTGGAAATTCTTCTTTAGTGTAAAGTTTTATAGTTATTTCCATCCTTGTCTACAGGACACAGAAAAAAAAGCCTCAGAAAATACAGATCTGTGCAAATAACAAAAAAGACAATATTACTTTGGGTCAAACAGGAGAAATTTTTCGTTCTGATATCTGACTGCAGTTTCTTAAAAACTCTGATTTCAATTAGTTAGTGTAATCTTTCCATTTGGGACTGCTTTGCCCAAATCACAAGGAAAGATGCCCGATATTAGCGAATTAGATCTCCAAAAGAGGGATTTTGAATTGTAAAATGCCTCAAATAAAAAGCCTTGTAGGTTTTTTTAAACACCTGATAATGATAGATATTGTTATTCCGGTGCATTACCGATGACAACATAGAAACCACAAAAGTCACAGGTAAAGGATTTTCAGAGAAATGCTGTTTCTCCTCAGAGCAGCTGCTCTGCTGTCGGATGGTCAAAGCACTTATGGAGGCAGAAGCAAAAAGCTTTTAGCCCTGACCTTTGATATTCACCGCGTGTTGTGGAATCAAGAGCAGGCGGATAGGAAGCGTCTGAAAGACTGCCGAGCTTGTTTGTAATGCAGAGGATGCTTAGGAGTAATTGCAATCCTTTGTGAATTTACAAGCAGAGCTGATGTTTTTAAAGCTCTTTTCTTTTTATTGTCTCTGGGGGACTTTGTTTTTGACAATTGGCCACCTGCTGCTGATCTGAACGCCGTTTAGAAACAGTTTTTGCCGTGACATTTTCAAAGAAGCTCTAACCCAAAATGCCAATTTACATAGATCATTTGAGGCCTTAAATTGAGTGTTTTTTGGAATCATAGGAGATTGATTTTCATTAACATAACATTATAACCCAACACCCAAAATATCCTGACTCTCCCTGGAAGAAAAATAACTCTTCTTAGGCACAACAAGCGTAAACAAACATTAAACTCATACAGGATATGATAAACAGCCACGCACTTTTCACAGCATGTGTGTGTCTGTGTGTAAGCGTGTGTGTTCTGTCTGTGCACCCAAGTGTGAGACTTCATGTAGCTGCTCACCATCCATATCCAGTCTCTGCATGATGATAGCAAGCTCCACCTCACTGGGCATGTAACCCAGGGAGCGCATGGCCATTCCCAGCTCTTGTTTGGAGATGAAACCATTCCCATCCCGGTCCAGAACACGAAAAGCTTCACGGATCTCTGCAAGACAGACACAAAACATATCACTGCACAATACTGTCTGTCCAGCTGTTATCTGCCTGTCTTTAAAAATCAACTTACATGGTGCAATATCTTTGCAGCATTGCAGAGGATTGTTTTTCTGTAAAATAACACCAGTGTGCAGCTTGTTGGTGCTCATGTGAAAGTAGGGACAACACTGGCATTCATGATGTAAGCTGTTTTTGTTTTTCACCTCAGCTTTACTTTTCTTGATTATTTTCCTTTCCTTGTTTCAAAGGTTGGGGTTTCATTGCTGCAGATAAGAATATTCATCCATCTTCCTCTTTTATGGTTATTAAAAATTCAGGCCCGGTACTAACTTAATTGGGGGATTTATTTCTGTTGTCTTTCCTGAGAGTGTGCCAAAAAAGGTGTTTCCCGACTTCACGTCAATTATTCATTCATTTATGAGACGCTGTGGGCGAACTCTGCAGCATTATCCATGTAATTTAAAAGGTTTCTTTCCATCCTCTATGCACACGTGTACAATAGTTTTGCTTTGTCAATGTTTTCTTAACATTTGTGAGTAATCTTCATCAGAATGTCTCACTCTGTGTGTGATCTTTGCTTTTCTGCAGGATGTCTGTTATCATATCAGTGTCTATGCGGCTTGTAACACCACAGATCTTGTGGTCGTGTGAATAATGACTGTTGTCTCTCAGGAGGAAAGCTCGAAATAGCGTTATGTTGTCAAAGCGCCACGAAACGTCTCAGTGAGGCAGTCTGTGAGGATGGTAAGGGCATCAGACTGTGTGACTTTGATGCTCGAGACAGCCGTTTGCATCACATCTTACTCTGGTTTCTCCATTTCATTAACATAATCATGCTCCAATCCTACAGAGGTTAGACAGTTATCAGTACTTTAATGCCATGAAATGACTGCTTGAGTGTTAAAGGGGGTGACTAGAAGGTACTAACACAGAGAGAATTATCCTCCGATTCTGCAGTTCCCCTCAGTTGTGCTGAGTCTCTGCTCTTGCTTTCATTTCCCATCTCACTTCACTGTTTCAGTTCACTCTCACTGCTCTTAAAGCATTGTTTCGAGACCCAGCAGGAAGCTGTTTGACTGATAAAACTCTAAAGTTCTGCCAAAAGACAGACCAAGTTTCCAACTTGCTGTTGAAAAAAGATGAGGTTTGCAGCTACAGAAGACAAATTTTTCGGGAGGTGGTAAAGACCCAAAATACAGATAAAACAGAGTGGGGACTCGATATATAAAGCTCCACATGAGTGACAACTGTTTACCATTTATAGTAGATGTGCAAACTCACTGTTTACCAAATCAAGAGTTCAAAGCTAAATGTAATTAAAAAAATAATAATTTAATGCACACAACATTATATGAATGTAATAATTAAGGACCAGAAGGCTGAGGAACATCCACAGATCCTTCATCATGATGGCAGGGGCAAGAATTTCATGATTGTGGTGTCTCAACTGACTTATGCAGAGTTGCATAAAGCAACAAGTGTCTATATTTTTATAGACTCTACATTTTTATTCATTGGCTTTTTACCCTGCATGAGACTCGGCTCCTGTTTTAGTGTTTTATGGTTTGTTTTTAGTTGTTTGTTTCTATGTTTTTAAATTAGTTTTTAAAAACATTGAAACTATATATTTTACTTTTTAATTCTGTTTTTATTTTATCCATTGTTTTAATTGTTTTTTGATTGTTTTTTATGTCTCATTGTTTTGTCTATTTATGTACAGCACTTTGTTCAGCTGTGGTTGTTTTAAAGTGCTTTACAAATAAAGTTGAGTTGAGTTTATATAAACATATTGAAAAAGTATTTAATCCCCTTTTCTGTCTCTATTACATATGTAACTTCTAAAATATAATAAAAGGTGAACACCAAGTAAGAATTTCCCCCTGTGGGACTAATAAAGGAACATCTTATCTTAAAAACCACTACAACGAATTGCAACAAAAGTATGCTAGGAACAGCCAGTTGATGGACAGCTAGAATACTAAATTTAAACACAAGTCCCACCCCTGATGGGCAAACGAGCCAATCCCAGTTAAGAAATTTGGGGTGGCACCAGCAGCAGCCAATCAGCCACCCTTTGAACAAGCATTTACTTAAAGGCTATGAACTCCTGTGACTAGTTTTTTTAACATCAATCTCTGACTTACGATCATTTATTCTTCATTTTTAACACACTGCAGTTAACACAGAGCAGTTTTAACCATTTTTAATTCGTAATTATGAGTTTGAAATAAAGTGTTGGGTCTGGGTGCATACACAAATTTCTATGCTGATTTAAATTAATGATTTAAATTAAGTACATTTTTGGTGTTTATTCAATATGAATGACAAAGCACCTCTTGAACAATGCACTACATCAGAGAATAAACAAATCAAGAGAAGAAAATACAAAAAATATATAAATTAAAGTTTTGACATGTGGGACTACAAAAGCCCTACACAGTACAGATGGGTTCAACAATACTGCTGTATTAATTCTTTGAAACTGAAGTTCTGCATTGGTATCAATTGCTCTTATGAGATATCGATCCCAGTTGTGTACTTTTACAAAAGGCCCACCACTACTTCTCTTCTGGCTGTTTTCAGTCATTTTCTATCAGTACTCTACCAGACAGCTTTAGAAGAGTAAGAATAAGAGTTAAAGTAAAACAATTTGTGCAAAGACAGTCGCTCGTGGCTTCAACACTGATCATTTTAGGATTCAACACCTAAAATGACTCACCCTGAGAGTTACATGGAGGCTGAAGGCAGATAGGAAGAAGTTACTTCAAGAACCGCAGCACTGCCCACTGTACATCACAACACACTAGGAAAGTTCTCAGGGAGGAACCTATGCCTCTTATATTTGAGAAGGAATAACTATGTAGACAATACTTCACTCTACTTAACTGGTGTCTTTACCAAAGGGAAATGAGATTTTATCTTGAAAAAGTGTAAAATACTGTAAAATTTTGTTAATTTTTATTGAAAAACATAATAAATCTCTGCTCCTAAGTTATTTTGATAAAACGAGTGATGCTGTCTTGAGATTATGAGAGAAATAGGTAGGTAAACATCTCTACAAACACCCCAAAATTACATCAGGGAAATTAAATGTACAGATGCATGTCCACTTGTGTCACGTCAATAAAAAACAATTTTCTGTTTATGCCTGAGGGCGTCTTACAAATCGTTTCCATAAATTGCTTTCGGTATTTCAATCTAAACTGTATGATCTTTTTTTTTCTTGAAACCTAATCTCAGACTGCACTGGTGCACCATCAGATGGTGTCAGTGAGATGTAGTAATGCCTGAGATGAAATTAATAACAGCTTTAAGCAGGTCTGTAGATGGTGCTGAAAGGTGCTTCCCTGGCACTGATAACAGGATTTGACATTAACTGGAAGTGCTGCAGCCTTTCTCTCGGGCAAATCGAGGTGAGGGCGATCTCCCTCCCTCACTCCCTCCCTTCCCCCGCCTCTCTTTTGCTCTATTTCCATGTCTCTCTCACATCTTTATACTTATTGTATTTTCAAATCCCTGGTGGGCCTGTACCAATCCCTCCACACAGCACAATCACCGGCAGCATTGCCAACAGCATTTCCGACTACTCCTCCCACATAAAAAGCTTCCTTCTAACTTAATGCTGGAAGTAAACGCAGGCGGCTTGTGAGGTATCTGTTCGTGCAGCACAATTACTCAAACCTCTGCGGACCCTCGTAGAAAACACCCCGGTCAATCTGCAGCTAATTGCCTGTCAATCAGTTGGCACGCGGTAAAAAGGGGAGCACAGTTTTGAGTAGGGGCTGGTTATCGACTTGATAAAGACCGCAGAGACAGAAAGATTTTTTTTTCACAAACGAGTGCTCCATTTTTTTTTTTCTGTGGATATTAACACTTCAGGGGTGGGAGAGGGTGTCATTTCAGCTGGCGTTTGTGCTAATCTTCATAGAAGCAACACAATCGTGAAAAGTAATAGTCTGCTGCCTGATGGAATTTAAATCACAACTTCCCCCAAAGACTAATCCTTTCCCCAACTTAAACAATGAATTTTACATGAAGTTCATCTCGCCCTCTCTCTGTCTGTCTCTTAGACTGGGTGTCATTAATATTCTCATCCTGACACGCCGCTCTTTCCTTCCTTGGCGTAATGAGTCCGTCTCAGATCCGCCTGCGTTGCCCATCTTTGCTCTGTCAGTTGCGTGAGACCCAAAGTTCAGTCGCAGCACCCCATATAAGCCTGTGAACACCCCCTACAGCTCATGACTAAACCCGAGCGCTGAGCCACTGCCTCCCTTGTCTCTCCCTCTTCCTCTCTCTCACTAAATAAAGTCAGAATGAGAAGCAGGGGGGATTGGGGACGCAGGCGATTGTGTGTGTGTTCGACCCCCAAAACAAAGTGAGATGTATTTGTATTCAGCTCAACAGTGAAAAGTACATTTTCAAAAGGGCTGCTCCATGATGTATTACTGTGCAATGACTGTGTGTGTCAGTGAGTGTGTGAGCATACAGCTCCTGCCTGTGTGCGCCTGTGTATTACCAAGTCGACCCCCTCCAGGACTGTACATGTGCTCAGTGTGATTGATGAAACGCCTCAAAACCACAGAAAAGGATACAGAGCCCAACACAGAGGTGATTAACTAGCTTTCTATCTGCGCTAACAGATGATCCAAGAAGAACCTTCAGCATCTCTCTGAAGTAGGATTAGGAGTTCTCAAATGCTGGCAGCAAACACCACGGATATTTTGTCCACATCAAACAATCCCATTGGCGGCGTTGGATCTGAGGCTGACAGGGCCCAGATAATGCTTTATCACAATGTCTGGAGTCTAAGAGTCTGAATTTAATTTATATAATAGCTCCTCATAGGTCTACACTACTTTACCCTTCCTGCTGTTGCCCTCCATGAGCAGAGCGCAGACAAAGGCCAGCACGGCTAATGATGACAAGACGTTTCAGTCACCGTACACAATCCTGCCTTTACAACACCAAGGCAACCGTTTCAGCGAACTGGGTTGAGTCGAGTTATGCACCAGAGACATCGGATTAAAAGATTTATGCGACAAAGTAGTTCATACTGAAGCTCATTCGAGCAAACTACAATAGGCCACATGTATAAACACAAACAAACAGCTTCAGTCGGAAAACACACTCGGTTCTCACTTGGTGAGAGGATTAGCTGCTTCTTTCCCACCAAATAAACACATGTCGAGAAATATTGTATATGTGCCTCCTGTGTAGTAGAAGTGCTTTCTGTACAGCTGGTTAACTAGCCCATGTGAGGTTATGTCATAAAAGGGCTTCAAACCAGAATTGCCCAAATGTAATGACAGCTTTAGGAATCCTGAGCCTGCTGTCGCACTGGCATTCACCGAGCACACACTAAAAAGGAAGCATGAAAGAAAACTTCACTGTGACGGATTTAAGCCAATTTGAGGGAAAACTGTGCTTTTTAACTTCTGGGGCTTTATTTTCTCAGCTCTGGCCAGAGTTTAGAACAGATTTACACCTTCGAACAAAACGCCTCAGTGTGTCTGATGAGGCAAGGAGCAGTCAGATGATCATACAAGTTAAAACAAGCAAGTCAATTTGCAAGTTAAAAAACGACTCTATGCAGAGCTAACGCTAAAATGTTCATGCAAAAGAAGAAAATGAGAGTGCACACAGTTACCACAAGTACTGTAGAGGTCAGAGTTGAATCAGGAAGTCCAAACGCTTTTGTTTGTATCTGTTTTTGCTTTTTCGGTACACATTTTTTCTTAGCTTAAAGGTGGGGTAGGCAGGAATCTGTTAAAGAAGCATCTTTTTTTGTGATGTGTATACACAAAAAAGCTTTTAATATCAGTCAATAGTTATTAGTCATTGATGACATTTGGTAATATAACGATATCGATGTGTTCTGTTATGTCTGTGTAGTCAACATTTTAAATTTTTTGAGCAGCCCGCTCTTTCTGACTGTAAACAAAGCTGTTCTCCACCTCCCCCATCCTGATTGGTTGTGAAGTGGACGCTGCTCCTTAGTGCTGATTGGATGTGAGGCAGAAGCTGCTCTCCCGAGTCATTCACAAGCCCAAACAAAGTTAGAGTGCAACAATATCGGACAGTAGAAACCAACCAGAAAGTACAGAAAGTTGTCTGAATCCTCCTTTAGCCACAAGTGCCAACACAAGAAAGAAAACAAAGTAAATACCAGAGACTCTGGCGGGATAACAGGCGCTTAAAATGGAGGTAGACCAGACAAGAGCTAAAAAAAAGCCAGGTCAACAATGATGGGAGACGCTTTGGGATCGTACGGATCCTGTGACCTTTCTTCTGGACAGGTAAACCGCTTTAACAAAGTAAGCCAAGTGTCTGTAACAGAAGTGTTTCTTGTCAAACGAGACCTGCTACGTGTTGTAGCGCCACTACACTGTTTACCTGGAGTATGTCACTTTATCCTAGTTGTAGAAGTCCTGCAAACATTGTGTTTGCTGGTCGTCTGTTGGCATCTACAGTAGCACCAATGCTTTTTACTTTCACATTGACTGGGCCCCATTTTTAATTTTCTGAAGTATTTATCTGCATTATATCTGAATTTAATTGGAACGATACGAGCGAGCAGGAGCGTCTGTTTGTAGGCGGGGCTTGCTGAAGCAGAGAGGGAGGGGAGAGGAGGAGCTGAGGGGAAAACAGGTTGGGAGGGGTAGAGTTTACATTCAAGATTTCTCCCAAAAACTGGCACTTCCTCAGATCCTGCCTATCCCACCTTTAACTCTAAATTTCTTTATCCTTTAATTTCTCTTTTTGTGACTGTACTTTGGTGCTGTAAATTTGGAATTTCCCCCTGTGGGACTATTAAAGGAACATCTGTTCAACATTCAACATGTGATATTTGAGCTGCCTGTGAGACAGTTCGACATGGACAATATTCCTTCATCTGACACTGTTCAAATAAGAGGTTTCCCTGTTCGTGTTTTCACGACATGTTATTTAATAAGTTTAAGTGTTTCAACAGAACACAAACTCTCTGCTGTTGTCCACTTTGACTACAGAAGAACTTTATGCCTATATGTGTTCATCATTATGTTGAGCACGCACAGGAAGAACACAGCTGGAGGACAATCAGGAGGAAACACTGTGCACATAAAATGCTTATGAAAAGGTTTAAACTACTCCTCTGCAACCGAATGAAGTTTCCAGTCAGGAGCCATTTATTGCAATTAAGATGTTTGTATGGAGCATTTTCATCCCATGTCAGCTTTTAAACCACCTTTAATCAGAATATGACGCTCCATGTAAACACTATCCTGATGGGACGCCCTTTAATTTTCCAACATTATTTCGCAGTATTCAGGAGTCATAACCAGATACCAGCAGTAATAAATGGCAGTAGCGACCTGTCTGCTTCTGATTTATATTCCATTTTGATTATTCAGGCTATTAGGATTGTTGACACTCGTGCAATAAAACAATTCTTTTGAAGGTGGTTTTCTGACGACCTTTTTGAAAAATAACCTTTCAGTCTGAAATTGAAAATCCAAAATGAAAATTTTTTATTCAAAAATCAACCCTTCCCCCGGAAACTCCTTCAAACTCATAACGGATAAATGTATTCTCGTATTTTATAAGCAGACACGCACTCATATCTCATCACTCAGTTCTCCTGAAATAACAACAAATTCCTGGTTGTTTTCACAACATGTTGACTAATTTTCTCCTTGTCCCCAGATAGAAAACATGTTTTTTGTGTGATAATGAGTTCGTTTCAGTTGTTGCTCAGTATCTAGACTTGTTTTCTCATTATCTCAGGATGACAGAGCTGATTTTCTCATTATAAGAGATTAATTTATCTCATAATCTCGAGATAACAACGCCTGTTTTTTTTTCTTGTGATAAGGGTGTAATTTTCTGGTAATCAAGACAACAAAACACATGAGGCCGGTCACAGTCGTGAGCCAGACCATGATGAGGTCAGTTTAACTTGTTTCTGCTCGTATTGGAGGATTTTAATTGACGGGACTGTGAGAGAGAGGAGGAACAGGAAATGTGAGAAGAGAGGGGGATTGACATTTACTAAATACTGTTGGGACTGAGACTCAGTCTTATTCCAACAATTAAATCATCAAAGTACTGGTGGAGAGACTGTTTCTCACTGTGAAAGTATGTGAAATCTGGTAAAGTTACTTCACATACAAGATTAACTGGAAATTTGCTTTAAGATACTTACACATGGGTTCCTTAATTCAGGTGTGATTATAAATCTTTCTGTCCTGCGCTGCTACAAACTCATTTCACTGACTGAATTTGTTTCCTGAGCAGCATAATTGGAAACCAATGCATCCAGTCAGGCTCTGACAAAATGGCTAAATGGAAAAACTTTTCCCCGGGAGGATTGGAGTATTGTAGCTACATTGTTCCACTATTGAAACATTAATTGCAAATACCCCACACTTTACTCTGCACCCCCACTGCCTCTTTCATTTCCCTCTCTACCTCTCTTTGGCTCTGTGGACGCACTCACCTCCCAGCTCCTCGGTGGAGATGCTGGTGAGTTGGAAGGCTTCGCTGCCCTCCGTCAGGGAGCTGCTCAAGTAGTTGTCTGGATAGAGCAGGCCCGCCCGCACATGATGGAATGGCATCTTCTCCCTGCAGAGCAAACATGCACAGAGTCTGAGTGTGTGCGCATACAAAGGACAGAAAAACACACAGCAATTTGGTGTACGTACATTGAAACCCTGGCTTCCAGTGCAGCCAGGAGTCCTTTTTAGAAACAGTGTCTCCTGTGGAGGGCACATTGTTCCTTCCACTCTCCTAATGCTCGTTTCCAGGGAGAAACCGCTGTCTCCTCGTGGCACAATCACACTGACAAATTATGTAATCTCATTATAATTCAATGGAGTCACAAGAAAAGTATTCCGCTGTTATTGTTCTCATAAATACCATCAGAGTACAATCAGGAACACGGTATTATCTTACAATCATTCTTTCCCTGTCTTTTTCCTGCTCGCTCTTTATGCTGCCTCGTCGGTCCGCAGAGGAAAAACATAAAGTCCTGTCAGTCTGTGTTGTTTCTTCTAACCCCCACGTCAGATCTTGCGACTTCCTCTTCCTCTGGATAATCCCTGCTGTCACCCAACACCTCACCAAGGGACCGCAGGGCTTGATGGGGCATCAATCAGCCACAGCCCTGCGCTGTCGTATGATCAGAGCAACCATGCTTTGATTCATGAGAGTTGCCCCCCTGAGGACTTTGCCAGAGTAATATTTTGACACTTTCGGCATGATGCTTCATGTAATATTCCTGCCAATAGTACATGGTAAGGCTGAAGTGAAGAGAGAGAGAGGGGAAGACATGACGGGAGGCAAAGATATCCCAGGAGTATTTCATGAGCGTGCTGCTGCCAGACAGGAGAGATAGAGAACAAGTGAAGATGTCTTTGTCACAGGAGACATTGTCAAAGTATAAACATCTCCTCTCCTCTCTCCTCTCTCCTCTCCTGTTATTTGAAACTCTAATCTCTTGTAGATCTTGGAACCAGTGCCAAGAGAGGAGAAAGGACACTCACTGTGCATTAAAACAAAGATGGTGTAAAAGGTTAAGAGCCATGGGAGTCTGCTCTGGTGATCTGTAGAGGACAGCAGAGTGGAAATAGCTGTGTGTATCAGTGCATGAGACAGAGAAAGACAGCAGTATGCACAAGAAAGGTTTGTGTGAGAGTGTGTGTGTGTGTGTCAGTGTGCGTGGTTCGTGAGCTGGGAGGAAATTTAGTCTTCTGTCCATCTGCTCCTGGTTCTTCTTTGGTCCCAACCGCACATTAAAGCTACTTAACGAATATTTTTTCTTTTATGCTGAACCAAGTTTAAGCCAACAAGCGGGGAACATGCAAAGAAGCCCTACCTTCCCAGAGAGAACTGAATAAACTCTTTAAAATGCAATATTTTTTTTAACATTCCCTCTACGTTGAGCTTAAAACAAGATGTAGAGCCTATCTTTAGAAAGGGTAAAATAAACAGGAGCTCAAGTTAAACACTTTGCGGTTATAGCCGGGTTTGAGCAGCACTGAAAAGTGGTGACTGGAAAGAACTGAAGGCAGAAACACGAACTATGCAACTCATACAGAGTTATTTTACATACTTCCATAATTTCCTCTACATGAGCTTAGACATGTTCCATAAGTGAGTAAGTAAGAAATTAGTAAATGAATCAGAAAAAAAAAATCCAAAAGAAGTTAATTAATTGCAAAACTGCTACATTGAAGTGATGGGACTCTAACAAAATATTGTTAATGCCAACCCTCTACGAATAACACACAATTTGTGAGAATCCAGACATTGTGCTGCCAAAGATCAAATGACCTAAATAAAATGAAAAAATAATTAAAATCAATGACAGGGGGTTTCATTATGGTGCAGCACAGGTCCTTGGCTGAGGAAGTGTCAGATCGAGAGGTTGCAGGCGTGTACGAGCTTACTGACCTTCTTGAAAATTGACCTTCAGATGATTTTTGTTGTTGTTGTTAACAAATATTAAATACAACAGGTCATGAGCCCAAGGTTCGACAACCCTGACATTTACCTTGTGCTGGTTTAAATGCAATGCAAGCAGAAAAGGGATTTTAGTTCCTTTTTTTTAAAGATTTGTTCCAACATGAAAAACTGCAAGATTGCATTAAAAAAAACTAACATAATTTAAATTATGATAATTTTTGCATTAAAGCTCCTCTGAGAAGTTTTTGATGTTTGTGAAATAGACTGAAATTCTTATTTGTGCCTTTTCATGATGAGCAAAAAGACCATCAGTGATAAGTTTGATGGTTTTAATATCCTAATCTTTAAACCCTGGAGACAGTGTGAGGGGGGAGGTGTCAGCTAAGGAATTTTCATGTAAAATTTTTACAATGAATAATATATTTAGCCATCAAAGGTAAGCAGGATAAGTTCTCTTTGTAGATACTCAAGCATATAGAAAAAGAATGGAATAAGCAAAGACTGCTCTGTCCACAGGGTGTTTCAAACTTGACACAAACCAAAAGTTCCTCACAGGAGCTTTAAATTACAAATGTACAACTTGTCTATCAAATAAAGGGAATGATTTTTTATCTATCAAATTGATAATGCAATTTTATCTGATAAAAACAACCAATAAAGATTGGTTTTCTTTAGGGGTGTCCTGGTCTGATATTGATATCAGATATTGGATATCAGTCTGATATCAGCAAAAAATTGATATCTGATTATATCGGCTTGCATCTAAAAATCTCTGATATCAGCACTTTGATACGAACACATTTATCTAGCAGCATCCAGATCCAGCATGCAGAGCCCACATCATTATAACAACAGTTTGTACTAAGGTACTAACAAAGTAGCAAGGAGTAGGAGTGCTGTCAGCCGTGTGGCAGTATTTTTTCATTGAAGTCAGAAAAAGATGTTGCAGCTGACTGCAAAACTTGTCTTGCACAAGTTTGTGCTAATACTGGATCAATATTGGTAATGGCCAATACTGACAGCTACAATATCGATATCGTATCCGAAGTAAAAAAAAAAAAAAGTTGTATCGGGACACCCTTCGTTTTCTTTACTTATTAACAAATCAATACATTTCAACACATTGGTGGCAGAATGTGATCCACTATTACATGCAAAGAAGAACAAGTGCAGCTGCAACTAGCTGATGAAAGTAAAACTGACAGCTATGGTTTTTATGTTTTTCACTTTTTCAGAGAAGGATGACACTATTTGAACTTAGAAAGATGTGACGCAAATATTCTGAGAGGAGAAAAAAAAGTTCTCAAGCTGGAATACACCTTAAAAGCTGTCACCACAACTAAGATACATATAAAACAAATTGCCAGTAGCTGCTGGCTGAGTTGCAGACAGCAGTGAAACAGCAGTAACAGTCGCAGTTGTAGTCCATATACACTGCACTCTGTATTTATTGATGCTTCAAGCGTCAATAAACTCAGAGTGCAGTACATATGGACTTCTGACATTCTTCAAGTTGGTATACTTAGTGTGACAGCTCAGTGGCTGAATGAAGACTCTAACACTGAAAGATATTTTAGCAGGTCTCAGGGTGCTCCAGGTTAGAGTGATAAAAACAAAGAGGGGTCAGAGCTGTTGTTTTTGTGTCAATAAAAGTGACTTTAAATAGAGCGGATAGGTATAAAAAAACATGTTTATTCATGCATCTTTGCTCACTCAGTTGTAGTCTTTTAGATGTGTATGAACTACATTTAAAATATAAAAAATGTTTTAATGCTAGCAGTACATTATCAATCCACATTCTTTATCCCAAGCTTAGATAAATTTTAAAAGCCTGATATGAATTACAAATCAGTACATGTGACAATCAGTGTGACAAATCAGTACATGTTTTTTACAGGTGTCAACAGGTCCATATGTAAGTCCTCAACAACTTAAATTACAGAGTGAGTGAGACAAATTGACTCAGTCTTAGCTGCTGCCTCTAATATAATTGCACCTCTGCGTCGCCTGACGATAACAAGTTGCTGTCCACTTCTGATAGCTGCTTAAGTCCTGTTTGCAAGTGCTGCAGAACTGATAACTGCAGAGTTGGAAACACCCCTTAAGAGAAAAAATGGTTGTTTTCAGCATACTGATATACAAAATGTAAATTCATGATCCATTTGCATGTTAAAATTCCCCTGACATGTTGATGTGTGTACCTGTCCATGTTGGGAGTATGTAGATGCATGTGTGTTAGATGTCCCATTAATAATTTATGTGCTTAGGCTTCAACAGAGCATTCAATGACTCTTCCTTAAACCCATCAATAAAACAGGATTTCAGCATTAAAAAATGTGGTGGAGAAATTAATAAGACATATGATATGAAATTAATATGAGGATGTATTTCAACAGTCCATCTGCTCATGATTGTCCCCCTGACAGAAACACCCACTCATGGCAGAAAAACCAGCAGACACGCAAACACATACATCCAGCTCAGCCACACATCCTCATCCTCTCTCTTTTTTTTATATCTCTCTCCCCCTCACTCCTCTTTTTTTTCTCCCATATATTTTTGGATTGTGTTTTTTTCTGCTCGTGAAAACACAGGCTGTTGTCACAGAGATGGACATGAGAGCTGACAAGGACAAGCTTCAGCAGAAAACCTCCATCTGATAAGCCTCATTGCCTGGCCGGGAGAAGACGAGTGGCAGACAGACAGACAGAATGGCAGACAGACAGGTAGGTAAGAGAGAGGACGAGGAGGAGGAGGAGGAGGGGGATGAAAGGAGCGAATGAAAGAGGGACCGACTGATGGTGTTTGAACTGAAGGGTCACCTGCACCCTGGGGATCTGAGTTTCAAGTCTGCTGTGTGGTGATCAGAACGAATTAAAGCTCAGAAGAGAGGGAAGGGACTGAGATCAAGGAAGAGGAGCGACTGAGACTGAGCAAAACACTGGGAATAGGGAGAAAGACGAAGCAAGTTTTTTCTGCACCTCCCTCTGTCCCCAGTCGAGAGAAACACAAAAAGAGGACATGCACGTTGCTGCCATCAAAAACCGACAACAGCATGAAGTTCTATTCACTACCTCAATGAAAGCAGGTTAAAATAACTGAAGAAGCCACAAATTCACAACCAGAACATTAAAAAAAATAGAATTTTACTTCATCTGTGGATCCTCCTGTGTCTGTGTGATCTGTACACAGGACGTGTGGACTTTTATATAAATCAACAAATTATTCTCTTTTTACTTCAATGCACTAAAACGTCAGTCAGCTCGCCATGACTCCTCTAGTTACGGAGATGAAGCTCCTTTTGCCTGCCAAAAATAATGAGAGATCACAGTTGATCAGCTGATGCATCAGTGCAGGATAAAGGTAAAAAAAGAAACTCTGTGATTTGACAGAAAGACCAAACAGAACAAAGACATGCTGCTTCAACAGGCGCCCAACGATGAAATGGCTTCTGAATAGATTTGCAGCTAAATTGATTAATTTATTAAATGTAAACACTTCGCCCTCTTTTCCTTGTCAATGTCATATTATCAGCGCCTTCTGAAGTCACCTTGAGCAGGGATGGGAAGCCTCCACACAGCTGTGATCTCTGTGGTTTCTCCCTGACAGTCGAAAAAAAAAAACCTTTCTGCTGCACATGTTGGCATACAGCCTCCCCCCAGCGGTTTGCCTGCCTGGGTCATCCAACACACCCTATCTGACCACATCAGCAGCTGAACCGTCAAGGGAACAGCTCTGGTGCTTCACCATACACCACCTGAGGAAAACGGTTTGTTGATGTGTGTTCGGTTTTCTAACAGGTGGTCGTTGATGAGCTTCTTGGGTGTTTTAAGAGTCATACACAACGGGGAAAAGAGTTGGTCACCCACGATGGTGTGCCACACAGCGCGCATCTGCAGAGGATGGCGCGCAGCTGGACGCACATGCTCAAATCCGCTGCCACATTCACCGTCATTGTACTGAGACTTAGATGTCTAGGAATAAAATAAACATGAAGAAAAAAAAAATCATTCATGAGCTCTAACCGCCAAAATGCTCGCCTAAAACCCTCTTGGTAGCACGCACGTAACACCCCCACCCACCTTCTCCTCTGAGTCTCCTTTGGGGAATCGGATGAGTAATGTTTGTGAGACAAGTGACAGATCTGGCCCTCATTCTTTACGACTGGAGTTTTGCAGCATCAATCGATGGGAATGAATACAAGTGCCCTCAGACAGCAGTCCATCTCATTTATCAGAAACCTGAGTGAGAACTACATACAGCAGAGTGAGCACGAGGGCGGCTGACACAGCCATAAAGCCCCATGTAGCCTGTGATAGAGTGCTTTACATCCCGCAGCATGTCGAGACAATTACACAGTAATTGCACTTATAGAGCACGTGTGATGGACCTGTAATCACTCTCTAGTCACACTGATCAAACCCACGCAGCGCGCAGTGACGCGCGCGACGCGCACAAACAGCTGGAGAGAGGTTTTCAGGAGATGAAAGAGTCGGAATGCAAACACACACACAAACACACACATGTCCGTCAACAAACATACACAGATCATCCAGACTTTCGGCACATGCACGGTGGTCTATTTACTTATGCGCGCACAGGCACGCGCGCACATTTCCACGGATTACAACAGGTGCAGTCGCCCGTGCAGCTCTGCAGCCATGAGAGGCACAGACGCATGGGCGGCTGATCAGGTATCAGTAATCACCTATATCACCTTTAACACAAGCACCCAGAGGTGACACTCTAACAGCCTACCTGCCTGTGAAACGACGGGTCCCCCGGTGACAGATTCACCCAGCTCCGTTACAAAACTCGTCGCTGCTGGAGACGCTGAGGGTGTTCCGATTTGCCAAGATGGGTTTATTCTGTTTGCATCCGTCCTGTGCTTTTGAGGAGTCCGTCCGACAGCCAGAGATGGACTCATTCAGTCTGTGTGTGGGACCAGCCTCGGGGATTCACCAGGGTGTCATGTGCTGCACACTTTAGAGACGAAATATCAACTGGTTAGGTGAAGGTGAGGAGGAGGAAAATGAGAAAATGTGTCCGTTTCAGCTGCAGCATAAACCCACATTTATGGCCTCCCATCCGATTTCTACACCTCACTTCTCATCGCCATATCTTGGAGATTTTTGGGATGTAGCAGTTGGTAGGTAGAGTGCCAAGTCTTCGTCCTATCAACTCACCCAGACGGACGCCACCCAGCCGCCCACGGGTCTGGGTCTAAGAATCGCTTCTGCTGCTATTATTGCCACTCTCCTCCTCCTCGAACCGTAAATCACGATTTCAATTCTATCTACTCTGTCGAATCAACACGTCGCAGTGGAGAGGACGGTGTCTTTGGGTGCAGATCGGTAGTAAAACAGCGGTGGGGGATCTCCCGACGCTCCCGCTGCATTTATCTCGCTTTCTCCCGGTGACAGAGTTAACCCATTTAACGATCTTGACCGGTTTGGGAGGGGCCACATGGGGGCCACGGCAGCGGAGGTGCGAATGAGTGTATAGGTGAGCCGAGAAATATGCGACGGCGAGGCGCTCAACAGACGAGAGATGCCCACTTCAAAGGTGTGTGAGGGAGAGAGAGAGAGAAAGAGAGAGAGAGAGAGAAGGAAGGGGGGAGAGTGTGCATGAGAGAGAGAGAGAGAGAGAGAGAGGTGGGTGTAAGGTCCGAGCAATTAAGGTTTCAATGGATCACTGAAGCTTTCTTTCACTCCCCTGGGGAAGAGTGTGTGTGCGCCTTTGAGCGTGAGTGTGTGTGTTTTCATTTAGCCATTCTTCACCGCTTGAAGAGTCACTGATGACCAATTATGGTGCCTAGGAAGTGACATCAGCCACAGTACTTAAATGATGCAGTGTCTGACCCTCTCCCCATTTTTCCTTCCCCTCCACCAAACCTCAACTCTCATCTTTATGGTCTCTGTGGGTTCAAATTTAAGGTATCTCCTTACACCCAAACCTCTTTCAGTCGCTGTCAGAAGACATCCTATTTTCACTGTCAGCCTCTGTGGACCCCCCCACCCCCACCCGCACTATCCCAATTTACATTCCCCAATTATATAATAGCCTGAGTGAAGTTTCTGTTTCCCCCACAGCAGCAGCCTCGAGGTGGAAAACTCTGTCTCCCGCGCTGCTGCTGCGCTCTTCAAATTAAGTGTGGGTGCAGCAACTTATTTAACAGCCCAAATCTACCCCCTTCTGGTGATGGCAATGAGTTAATACATCATGTGTGCATCCCAGGGGATTCAACAATGAGCCAGGGTTTTTGCAGTGTTTTTTTTTTTACCTGGCGGCATCGGTGGAAAGTAAATACAGCACAAGTGAGTCATGGATGTTTCACCCTGGTGCTCTAACTGCATGTTGGGCATATCTAATGAGCCTGACAAAGGGTTGGAACAGATTTACTCTGGGAAAATGAGGCCAATCTGAAATACAAAGTCAGTGTATTTTCCCCTGAATGCTCACACTGAAAGCTGGTTGAAGAGGTGGAAGGCTGTCAGGCTCAACTGTGGTGCAGATTTTTTTTTGGCACTGTCCATGGTGCTGAAGGACTTTCTCAAGCAGAGGCAGGACGAATGAAGGTGAAGTGATGCGCCATATGTCAGCATTTACAAACAGCCGGACCTGCACCACTGCGATATTTGGGAGGTTCAAATTAGATTTGAGTTTGTTCAAAGGCACAAAGACTGTCCTTAGAGAGAGTTAGGGGATAGTTCATTTCATACCTCACTCCTTTTTCTTTAATAAATCTGTGAACGTCATTCATTAAATACGGGACAATCAATCTTGTGGAATACAATTCAGGGAGGATTGATAAGACCTCATAACATTCTCACACACATTTACACACGCACACACATACACACACGACTTAATGACCACCTTCTGACTTTGCAACACCCAAAGTCTTTGAATCGAGGCAGAAAACATATACAGCTTGGTGATCAATTAAATCCAACTTCAAGCGAGATAGTAGTGTGGAGTCAAAGATGAAGGATGCACAAGAACAAAGGCAGAGATAACCCAAAAAATACAAGAAATACTTCTATTATAGTCTGCACGGACCATCGAGTTATTTCAACTCCTCAGTCCACTGCGCTAAAAGCTTGTTCGAATTTCCTCAAATTCACTAAATTACCGGTTTAGTTTCAGTCTAGAGAGCATGAATTCTTCATTCTGATATCCTGGTGTGCTTCCACACCTGTGGCACACTCGCTTTGTTCTGATTCAGATGTTTCTAATGATACACTGTCTAGTTTTTTTATACACTACATAGGGCTGGGCAATAAGGGAAAAAGCTTATCATGATGTATTTTTTTCATATCAGTCCATATCAATATACATCACGATATATCACTTGTCAATCTTAAATGTTCCGTTACTCTTAAATGAAATTTAACATGAACTCGACATAATTTGCAGTGCACACATCTCTGCTTCATGTCCAACCTAAAAAAAAAAACAAATACCTCCACACCACCAAATTTTTCGTGCCAGTGCTGTCGACGATGTCGTCATCTGTTAAACCTTCATCTGTATTTCTGTCGGGGTTAGCACTCTTTTTCTTTTTTTCTTTAAGTGCTATGGTTGCCTGTAGCTGCAGCCTGCCTACACAGTTGTTTGCTACTTGGTTCTAATTCAGAACATGATTGGTTCAGCGTGAAGCAGACATGAAGCAACACCCCTTTTTCATTGGCTATTTGCTAACAAAACATGGCAGAAAGCAAAGAATATAAACTGTGTTCGATATCGATATCGAGGGAAAGTAGTTTTCGATATATATCATTATCGTTTTATCGCCCAGCCCTAACACTGCAGTATCATAAAGCAGGCGAAAGTACATGCCACTGCAGGGCTGTCCTTATGTCATTACATCACAGCCTTTTTTCCCCCACAGTGCACGTATAAACAAATGTCCCGGAACAGGTCACAGTTTGTATTGTAAGATCTCAGTTCCAAGACACTAATTAACATTAGCCAGTTAACCTGCCAATAAAATGAGTCATTGTTTGACTGGGAGGTCAAATGACTCATCCACATTTTGGCAGATGATTTTACTTCTGAAATGATGGACACCACTCACATAAAACAGAAGTTTAAAAGCTTGTGAGTCTGTGCATGAACACGATAGGCTTTTGCCGCTCTGCCAAACAATGATGCAGAAACTCTGACCACAATACATAAAAGTATGAGGCCAGCTCGGCAAAAGTGGAGATGAGAGGGGAAAATTAAATGCTTTGACATGTGAGACTTTAAAGTTCTTTAAAATAAACCAATTGTTGAACCAGTGGATGTTGTGGTGTAACTCCACCATTGCCCGTCCTTCTGTTGATGTTGAATTTGATGGAGAATTGAAGTTATGTCAACAAATGAGTAGCTCCCACAAGCCTCTAAAATGATGTTTCCATTCTTGTAGTCAAAGATTAAAATCTCTTCTCTAAACTAAAGTTGTGGACTTTATTTTAGAAAAAAAAACACACCACTTAGTTTTCAGGAAAACATGTTTGTGGAAGAACTCTGAAGGATCTTCAGTGGGTTCAGTGACTGTAAAGGCACAGCTCACAATTCTCATCATTTACTCGTCACCTTGTGGACCTTCTATCATTTAATTTAACATCCGCCGGTGGCCGCAGAGGGTAGACTCCCACTTTTCCAACCATTCACAGCAGTAATTACAGAATATAAAATTTTGAATACTGGAACTTTAAATTGAAAGCCATTAAGTTCAGTCCACTACAAGGTCCCATCTTCTTCCTTATCATATTACAGGAGTCCATCTGCTGTCCTAAATAGACTCAGCTGTGCAGCGAGTATCAGGCAAGGTGATAATCTAAAATCTCACGGTGAGTTCAGCACAATTTTCACAGGTGTTCAGAAATCCAATTTCTTGCTTTTTTTGGAGAGGTAGACTGGTCAGGAATACACTCTTTGTTCAGCAGAAATGGGGAAAGAGTAAAATTGACCCAACTATAAAATGTCAACAACCCCTCCATGGTTGGTGCATTAAAAATACATCTATCGGAGTGACAAAGTAATACTTAATTTCAAGTCTATCATAAATTCTACATTCACAGCCGGAGAGACCTGAGATACATCACTATTGGCAAAACCTCAGGCTTCACAAACACAGAGAGAGGAGCTGCAGGTTACTCTGACATGGACTCTGACCCTTCAACAAATCAATACCAGGAGTCATGTCACCAATCACAAGTGGCTGCTCTATTTTTTCCTGTAATCTTCATGCTGTTAAACAGTTTTCTGCTCACTAATAAAAGAGATGCTTTTGTCCTGCACCATGAGCTTTAATCGCTTCATAAATGAGACTGTGACGAAAACATAGCCTGGAGTGGCAGACTTAATACTCTGGCTTTTTTTAAAATAGATTGTTGACAGTGCAGAGTGCCAAGGAAAATCAGGGGATGACAAGCGATAAAAGTGCTTAAAAGGGCCGAATTGAGTTGGAATCCTGGAGTAGTTATAATAGTCAAGTGGCCACTAGGGCACCAGAGGCTCGATCCACTCAAATTTATTCAGCAAATAAGTAGAAATAGCAGCATTAAATTTGAGAAAGAAGGAAGTCTGCTGTATCTGATCAGACAGTGAAATGGGTCAGAGTGAATTTTTAGTCTTAAAGAGTGTCTGTTGGGGTCACGCTACAGCTGTCTTTTGAACATGAACATTTGCATTTCAAAGTTCAAGCTCAGATACGGCAACTTATTTCCTCCTGCAAATGAAAGGTGACGATAATGTGCTGCTTTAATGGCCTCTTTCAGACTGTTGTATTTATACAGATGAAAAGATTATCTCAAGGGGATTCAACGTTTGCGCTTTCACTTGTGTCTTGTGAAGATAAAAGTCAGATGGGGCATAATGGGAAATGATGTGTCCTCATAGTAGAGTTTAAATCTGTACAGGACTTGGTACTCCACTGTAATGTATGCCCATGCTTCTTCAAATACCTCTCGTATAAATTCTGTCTACTTTGTTGCAACTGGCAGGCAAGCGACACATTGATCTTATTTCTTGCTCCCTCATGCAGTGGAAACCTGGCAGCAGCGAGAACATGAGAAAGCACATTATGGTTTCAGATCACAACCCCGCTGTGTAATACATTCAACATCTCTCCAAATCCAAGCTCATTTTCATTAGCATTTAGATATTGTCATCATCCATTCCACTCCATATGCCTGTCGTGCTTATTACTGGTCCTGCAGCAATGATGCCCTTTAACTGAAAAAACTGGATCCTGTCGGTCTGAGTTTTGCACCGAGGGCTTCGCAGAAAATTACATTTAAAATCCCTAAGCAGCTTAATTCTCATTTACTTATACGCCCAGATGCTAAATAATCAGCAGATAAGCATGACAAAGTGCATGTGCACATACGCATGCATGCACCTGCATACATGAATACCAAAGTGATATTTCAATCAAAAGACAAAGTGTGCAACAAGATTAAGAGGTTTTTTTAAATGATAAACAGGTAACTGCCGTGACAGGAAAACGTATTAAAAGCAACAGCAACATTACCGCTGAAGAGAAAACTCTGTATCTGTTCCTCGTACACATGCCCTCTAACTTATACCATACCCTCAGGACACAGGGGTAAAACTTAAAGTTCCCCCCAGGAAGGTTACACCGCAACACCACATGAATTATACAACAGCAACTGGGTTTAACATTCAGCCCGTGTGTGAGCAGACATGTGCATGTGTGTGTGAGAGAGATGGGAAGTTGTAGGCTGCTTGCAGATGTGACATTAAACAAGATAATGAACTTTTCAAGACATTTTGCTTCAAACCATGAAAAATGGGACCTTCAAAACTCCAGGCTCTGAAGAAAGTCCAAATGTATGAACAAGGCCAAGATATGTCTGTCCAAGGGTGTGTAATTAGTTGATTAAACAATAAGTATTCCAAACACATACATGTGCAGCAGTAGCTGTTACTACAGCTTAATGGGATTATACACAAACTTTCAGGTTTGTCTTTCAAAGTCAATAAAAACTCGTAGTAAAATTAA